AAAGTTATGGGGGGGAAAAAAAACCATTAAAAAGGGGGTAAATTATTTGGTCATAAAAAAAAATTTAAACTTTGGGAAAACATTGTGGGAAAGGATAATTGGGGGAAAAAAAAAAAGGGGTTCAAAAAGGGGGGGGGGGAGGCATTAAAGGGAAGTTCAAAAAGGGGAGGGGAAAAGGTCCCGGGGGGGAAGGGGTTCTTCTTAAAATCCTTTAATTTAAGGGGGCCTGGAAAACCAAAACTTTTCCTTTTAATGGAAAACCCCCCCCCCACTTTACTGGATGGAGGTTAAAGGAAAATTGGAAAAGGAGCCTCCTCAAAGTAAATAAAAAAGTTATTTGGTGGAGGAAAAAAAAGATGGAGGGGGAGATGAAAGGGCAGGGGGATCAAAAAAAGGGGGAAAAGGGGGAGAAGGGGGAAAAACCAGGGTTAATTTTGGAAAAAGGGGAGGGACTTGAAATTGTGGGGGGGGGTTTTTGGGAGGGCAAAGGAAAATAAGGGGGGGAAATTCATGGGGGGGACCATCCGGGACCCGAAAGTTTTTTTATTTTAACAAATTAAGGGCCCCCCCCCCCCCCCCCCCCCCCCTTTTTTTTTTTTTTTCTTTTTTATCTTTCTTGGTGTATAATGTATCCTAAATTCCTAACTAACCATCTCTCGTACTTATAATCTGTCTCAGAACTGCATCTGGCTTGCACCAACGGTAAGTTTGCTATTTAGAAAAGAAAATAGTATACAATAAACTAGGGACGTCTCAATATATATATTTGTCGCAGATGATGACATTTGTCGCAGATGATGACATTTAGCAACTGCGGAAATGTAACATTAAAGAGTTTGAGATTCAGAAATAGTGCACAAACACATGTTCTTGTGATGGGAAGCCAAAATGTGTATATAAATGATATCAAAGTAACCTCACCGGAGGCTAGCCCTAACACCGACGGTATTCACATCACATCTTCCACCGTCGTTTCTATCAATCACTCTGACATCGCCACTGGTATACTTCCTAACCATTGAAAAGATTAAAATAAAAGTTTAACTCGCGCTATTTATTTATTTTATTCTCACGCAATTAATTAAACAGGTGATGATTGTGTGTCTATCGGAGATCAAGTGAATAATTTGAATGTTACTTTTATGAATTGCGGACCTGGTCACGGTGTGAGGTGATTACAATCACCTTATCGACCTCGTAATCTTGTATTTTCCAAAGAAAAAAAAAACTAATAAGAAATTAGGACAGCATTGGGAGTTTAGGCAGAGGAGGAACAGAGGTAGCAGTGGAAAACATACGTGTGTGGCACGTTAACTTTACGGGAACAACAAACGGAGCTCGAATCAAGACGTGGCCTGGAGGAACTGGTTATGTCCGAGGAATCGAGTTCTTCGACATCCATTTCTCGTCTGTACAAAACCCCATCATCATTGATCAGTTCTACGGTTGTGCCCCTAAATGCGTTGAGACTGTAAGACTCTTTGTTTTTTTTTTTTTTTAAGTTCAAGTTATATTGATATTTTGATGAAATTGAGCCAATGTTTAATGTATCAGAGAAAGGGAGTCCACATAGAGAAAGTGAGATACATGAAGATGAGTGGAACATCGGCGACAAAGGTGGCTATGAAGCTCGAGTGTTCAGGGGAGAGTGTCCCATGTTCCAACCTTTTGATGAGAGACATTGACTTATCTCCAGCCGATGGCATTGGTTCTGTCTCCTCTCTCTGCTCTTTTGTTCACGGCTCCGCACAAGGCCTCATCCGACCTTCCTCCTGTCTCTAACTATTTTAGGGGGACATTTGTTTCAAGTATTGGGGGTGTAAATTCATGGGGTCATAAACAACAAGTTTTTCAGTTAAAAGCAATGCAGGCCCAACACAAAGATATGAGCCCAACAGTCACAGAAATTGTTTTCTCAAACCCAAAAACCTAAAACCTTAATTAAACCTCCGTAATGTCTCAAATCAGTAGTTCCGTCGTTAGCCTCCTGGTAATCTCCATCTCAGATCGCAATTTCTCCCTTTTCCGGTATACCGATCTGAGCTTAAGTTCGGCTGTGTTATTAAATTCGCCGTCGGAGGGATATGGCTGTTGTTGAATCGCATAGGGTTTTGGGTTGTTGTCGATTTAGGTAAATGGATGTCGAGGGTTTGCTCAACTCTTCGCTCTCGTTCTCATTGAAGCTGGTTTTATAGATCTCACAAATTGCAAAGATTGGAGATTTTGGGGGATTTGAATAAAAGCAGCTACATGTTATCGGGTTCACTATACGGGTATGTTTAGGCTCGAGGGAGGCCCTGGATCATGCTATCTCTGCGACTCATTCGCAGATTCTGCCATTTTTCTTCCTCTGCAGCCACTGGTATTGCATATGTTTCAACTGACTCCAATCAGATCCAGGGTTTGAAACCGCTTGAGGAGCCTGCCCTTGTCAAGCTTAAATCTGAGCGAGATCCCGAGAAGCTATTCAAGCTTTTTCAAGCTAATGCCACTAACCGTTTGGTGATTGAAAATCGATTTGCTTTTGAAGACACGGTTTCTAGATTAGCTGGGGCAGGTCGGCTTGATTTCATTGAGGATCTGCTTGAGCATCAGAAGACACTTCCACAAGGTAGACGCGAAGGTTTCATTGTTAGGATTATAATGCTGTATGGCAAGGCTGGGATGACGAAGCAAGCACTTGATACTTTCTACAATATGGATTTATACGGTTGCAAAAGATCTGTTAAGTCCTTCAATGCCGCTCTTCAAGTCCTATCTTTCAAACCTGATCTCCACACCATCCGGGAGTTCCTTCATGACGCTCCTGCAAAGTATCGCATTGATATTGATGCAGTTTCTTTTAACATTGCCATTAAATCTTTCTGTGAGCTCGGTATTCTTGACGGGGCGTATATGGCAATGAGGGAGATGGAGAAATCAGGGTTAAAACCAGATGTAGTCACATATACTACGCTTATATCGGCGTTTTACAAGCACGAGAGGTGTGTGATTGGAAACGGATTGTGGAACCTTATGGTCCTCAAGGGCTGTAGGCCTAATCTCACCACTTTTAATGTTAGGATTCAGTTTTTAGTCAATAGGAGACGAGCTTGGGATGCAAATGATCTGTTGCTGTTGATGCCAAAACTCCAGGTGGAACCGGACAGCATAACATATAACATGGTTATCAAAGGGTTTTTCCTTGCGAGGTTCCCTCACATGGCGGAAAGGGTTTATACAGCGATGCATGGTAAGGGGTACAAACCCAATGTGAAGATATACCAGACGATGATTCACTATTTGTGCAAGGCAGGAAATTTTGATTTGGCTTATACAATGTGCAAGGATTGTATGAGAAAGAAGTGGTACCCAAACTTGGACACAGTTGAGATGTTGCTCAAAGGGCTTGTGAAAAAGGACCAGCTTGATCAGGCTAAGTCGATCATGGGGTTAGTTCACAAACGAGTACCTCCTTTCAGGTCAAAACAGTTGCTCTCCCTTAAGTCCATTTTGTAATGTTTACACGACAATGCGGCCAAAAGGATTCTTTCTTTCTTTCTTTCTCCTGAGTTTCTTTTGTATAGCTGTGGTGGAACTGGAAATGGGAAGTAGCCCCATATTAGAAGGGCACAGTTATCTTCTAAACAGATTCAACTATTTGTTGTTCCATGTGAATAAAGCTTAGGATGATTTGGGAACTTCAATGGTGGATACTCAGTAAGTCTCTACAATCTTAAGTTTTGACAGCACAGAACTAGTTTACCTTTTGTTATGCTGTTTACAAAACATGTTATTTCTTCTTTTGATTTCAGCTCGAGAGCAAAATGGCATACACAAAGTAGTGGTGACCATGTTCTGAAGAATCCGATAGAATCATTGTCTGGTGATGCAAGCAATGAGCCCTGGAAAAGTCAGTTATGTTTTAAATGTTTTTTCAGGCCAAATTAAAAGCATTAAGCATAAGCAAAGGCGATATCACCGTTGATAGGTTTTCTTGATATAGCACGAATGTAAACAACAGAGAACAGAAACAACAAGTAATGAATATTTTTTTTAATTTATTTGTCGAATAAATACATTTAATTTGGTTGTCGAACTTTTGAGCCCACAAGTGACAGAGCAAACAAAATTTACTACTTAAAACATCTATCTTGTTACAGTAGATAGATGCCTCAAAACTTGTGTCTGACTTGTTACGGTAGATTTATGGCGGTAAATTATAGCATTGTAATTTTAAAATTTATTTTTCGTAAGAAACAAAAAATTCGAGGGACATGTATATTTGTTTAGTTGATTCACGTGCTCTTTATGTTTGAAATTCCTGAATTTGAAGATTAAAAAAAGATACGAGACGTACCCTGAATTCCAAAAGGATGAATGAATGATACCAACTCATACAAGATAAAACAAAAAAAAAACATAGGCATCATCGCCAACCTCAGATCAGTTCCGTAGTTTACTCGATCACGACACACATGATGACACATATACACGTGTACATAAAAGCCATTCTTATCGAAATCTCATCACCTTCCTCCTGAATTCATTCATTATAGGCGCGTATACTTGGGATTCTAAGCTTCGAGCCAACGTTCTGTTTCTTCTGGGGAAAATGAAGGAAGATACTACCGGAAACCCTCTCCATATCAAGTCTTTGAATCACATCTCTCTTCTCTGCCGATCCGTCGAGGAATCCATTAGCTTTTACCACAACGTTTTAGGGTTCCTCCCTATTCGCAGACCTGGCTCTTTTGATTTCGATGGCGCTTGGTACACACCCTAGCCTACCTACATCTACATGGGAGATATATTTCTTCTGATTTGTTAAAAAAATTTCCTAATTACATTTTTCTGTGATTAGGTTGTTTGGACACGGAATTGGGATTCATCTTCTTCAATCTCCTGAACCTGAGAAATTACTCAAGAAAACAGAGATTAATCCCAAGGACAATCACATTTCTTTCCAGGTATACGTTACCTTCTTCTTCTTTTTTGTTTTTTGTTTTTACTTAATTTCATTTTGACACCATACCTTTTTTAACATGCTTTCTCACTAACCCCTTTGTTTGTCCTTGGGATTCATTAATTCTCTTCTGGTTGTGGATTTTTTTTTAAATGTGCTAGTAATTAATTGTGAGAGTATATATATATATATATATATATGGAAGTTTTAGCTTTTTTAGAGGGTTAATTAGGCAGAGCCAAATGTTGTAGTTAGTACGGACATATATTTGATAGAAGAATGTGTGTTGAATGCAGTGCGAAAGCATGGAAGCGGTGGAGAAGAAGCTCAAGGAGTTGGAGATAAAGTATGTGAGAGCAGTGGTGGAAGAAGGCGGCATCCAAGTGGACCAACTCTTCTTCCACGACCCTGATGCCTTCATGATTGAGATCTGCAACTGCGATAGCCTCCCTGTCGTCCCTCTCGCTGGCGAGATGGCTCGTTCCTGCTCTCGACTCAATATCCGCCAGCTCGTCCACCCCTAGTTCTCTGTCTTCCCTAATTTCTGTTTTCGTACATAATTTAAGTAGTGTCCATGCATGTGTTTGCCTCTTTGATTGCGTGTGAATATAATTGCCTGTAATAAACACAGAGGTAGTTGATGTGATTCCTCAACCGGGAAAATGACCATTTGCTTCACTTTAGTCTCTCTCTCTGCCCTCATCAGTTGAGAAACCAAACTCTCTCTCTTTTCTTGTTTTCCTTCTAATACTTGTGGTTATGCATGATATCAACAAGAAAATCTTATATTACAATTGAAATCCCCTTAGAAGCTTTTGAAAGACAATTAGTAAGACATATTATCTGTCACATGAGACATGAGACATCTATTTTTATGTATGTGTTATATATCAAAGACTTCCTCTAGGGAGGATGTTATCGCACTGAAGAGAAAGTTGTCGCCGGAAGTTTTGGATGAAAGCCTCGGCGCATTTGTCCACATCATGAATCGTCGGCTTGCTCTCTAGATGATGACTACCATTTGTAGGGATTGTCACCGATTTTCTCTTCTCTGTAATGACGTTGGAGATGGTACTGTGCACAGAAAGTTGTTGTAAGGTACTCATTTTCCTGATCTTTTATGTGTGTGTTTTGGGATAGTTGGATGGTGGTGAGAGTTTAATTTTGGGAGCTGTATTTATAGGATTGTTTGTATATTTTATATGCCCAAGTCTTTTTTATCCCTACGGAAACAACTTTGAAATATTGAAAGGAATAGATAACTAACTACATTAAGAGATGGAATGTTGAATTTGAAAGTTAAGATAAAATATCCTTTCAACACTTATCCACTTACATCTAAATATCAGCAATTAATTAAATCAAATATCTTGCAACTTCTGCTTTTGTGATATCCTCTAGATCAAATTATATATACGTTTCTATTTAATTAAGGAAACGAAGCATCAAATCTAAAGGTTCTCTTTGAAAAAGGAAAGGCTTACATGAAATCTAACCTAACAAGTGGAATTGATTACTCATAAGGCTACAAGTAGAACCTAACGACTAGAAGAAGATAAGACACCGAATCCTGAAGCCATCGTCCACCGCCGTCGTTTTCGTAGCTCCGATGACTCTTCCCTATCTTTTTTAAATAACAGAATGGGTCGGTTTTTTCATATTCATCTTGTTTCGATATATTTATGAATGGGCTATATTGACCCAATAATTAGCCCTTTAACGTTCAAAAGGCCCAATACAAATTCCGAGACTACTCCTTTTAGTCGAGGATATTACAGATGTACCCCTTCTATTTTTGTTTAGTAATTACTGCACGTCTTTTTACTAGTTTTCGTAATTACATGTTGTTCCCCTATATTTTGGCTCATTACATAAAAGTTCTCATAGTTTTGGTTACACATTTGTACTAAGATTGTTTCAGCTACATTATAATCTCCCCAGCAACCGTGAGATAGCTCTACATCCATCTTATGGCTTATAAGGTAAACTTGTGACTGGAATTGAGTGCAATAAGAGATAAACTCGATGATAAGGGAAAGATTAGTGAGCTGAATTTGCCAAAATGTGACCATATATTTAAAACATTTGGCGTGTGCACTAAAAACGTGGCAGATTTGCAATCTGAAACCATGAATTCAAAGGTATGCAGATGTGATCCCGGACTGAACCGACTGTTCCAAGAAGCTTGTGTCATCTGAAAGGCAAGGAGGAGGGTACACTTGACCCGAACTAGAACCATAAGCTTCCCAACAGAAGGACTCTGTGAAACCATCGCCGCTTGATGGTTCAAGATCAACGTCTTGTAAAAGTATGTTGCGACATGGTGAACTATCGCTGCAAGAGATCTTGATTGCTTGTTTTGTTGCTGAAGTGCCCCTCACGTAAACAAATGAGATGTTCTCAACGCTAAGAGCTGATGTCTGCAGTTTTCGAGTTTTAGACAGTTTTTCAGGTTCAATATTGAGCTAATAAAGAAAGAAATGGCACAAGTTCTTTACCTGATTCGCACACGGCTTCCGAGAATCGCAGTAATACTGATCGATGATGATGGGGTTTGACACATTGTTCATCTTGATGTTCCTAAAGATAATTTTTGAGACCAAACCACTCCCTCCCTGGTTAAAAGAGTGAGCAAGCAAGTTAAACTCTCTTCATCTGCAGAACGTAAGCTGGAACTTTGATAAGATGAAATCACCTGCCATGTTTTGATCCGAACACCATTCGCAGTGTCAGAGATGAAGGCTGTATCAACCGTTATGTCTCTAACTTCTTCCCAAGATTCTGATTTTCCTAGGCTTCCAATGCTACAACAACAATGTTAAATTAGATTATGCCTAGTCAGTTACTCTGTTTCTTATTTGTCTGTCTTTAGCTACCTTATGCCATGGCCAGGACCACATATAATGTTGCTGATGGAGATCTGTGAAGAGTTTTTAACTATCGAAACACAGTCATCTCCTATACAAAAAACAGATCCGATTAATGAAGCAAAGAGAAAATGTTAGTTAGATTCAAGGTCTGGTTAAGTACACTGACCTGTGCTGACAGTAGTGTTGTCTATCACGATACCACGGGAGACGCTTATGTGAATTCCATCAGTATTGGGACTAGTAGCAGGAGCAATGACCTTTAAACCAGAGATGGCCACACGGCGACAGCTGGTGAAGGCAATGTGCATTTGTTGGCTATCAATCACATTGAGGTTTTCAACTCTCATATTCTTGCACTTGTGGAATGTTATGGCCTACAAAACCAACATAGTCTTACTTGTATAGACAGTAACCACACCAAATAGAACTAACTAATTGGGTGCTTACCGTTGGAGCGCCTCGACAAGGCTGCGAAAGAGATGGTTGAAAGAAAAGTGAGAATTCCCTTTAATCTCTGAAGATAACAATATTGAAGGAAAGAAAAAAGAGACAACTAACGTTGGAATGATTGTGTTTGCAAGATCTTGTCCACCATTCTTGCCCCATTCCATTAACAGTGCCACCTCCTTCAACCGTCAAGCGGCTCAAACCATGGAAATACAGCCATTTGCGGCGGTTTAGACCTTCCCAAGCATCTGGATCATTGGGAGCAATGATTGTACCAGAGATCTAATGGGCAAAACAGAGCAGAAAGCAATAAAGACAACGGAACTAGGTCAACAATCTGAAAATATCCTGTGGAAGGGGAAGCTTTTACCTGGAGTGTGAGTCTTGCTTTACAAGGTCCAGAAAGATCAATGGGCCGGAGGAGACAAGTGTAGTTTTCAGGCACCAAGATTCTGGTTTTGACTTTGGAAGAACAAGCTGTCTTCCAAGCATCTGCAAACGCCTGCGTACAATGATCATCCGACACAACTATTAAGTATTTACCGGTGCTGTCTGATTTCATAGATCCTATATACAAGTTTACAGATAACAAATTCCCAGAAAAATTCAAATTCAAGATTCCTTTTTTAGCGAATCGTTTACTTTAGTGTCGTCGGTGAAGCCATTGCCTTTGGCACCAAATTTGCCGACGTGGAGGAGCCGTTCGGATCTGGGTCGGGTCGAGCGCGACTGTCTTCGCGGGAGCTGGAGGAGCGATTCGAACGAATCCGCGTTTGCGGTCAGAGCGAGTGAGGAGGCCACCACTAGTAACAAAAGGGTGACAACAACAGTAGTACCGCATGAATAACTCATAATTTAGAGTGAATCTTTAGGAACACAAGATTATGATCTATGTATGATTTTTGAATAAGCAAATGAATATGAGTATATACAGTCTATTTTATAATCAGAATTACAACAGATCTAAATTCTTCCCTCCTCTCTACCTTGAGTGAGAAAAATGGCAAGACAGCTTCAAATTTTCAGTGGATTTAGTACTGACACTCTTTGAATTTTTCCATACATTATTTGATTGATTAGTGTAGGTGATCAATCATATACTCAAAAATTTCAAGATGAAATAAAACGTGATAAACCATTTTATATTTAAAACAAAAAATAGAAACAAAATGTGATATCTTTATGGGCTAATCAGCGAGGGTATATATTTTGCACTAAACTAATTAAGCCCATAGTATTTTTGCAAAGGCTCCAACTTTTGGGAAGAAAAAAAAACAGTGGACGGGGTGGGAACTGTGGTGCCATGCTTCATGCTTGATCTGGACATAACACAGAAGCGAGTCCCTGAAAGTTGAAACGTATCGGTGGATGAATTGTATATAAATTAGCCAAAAAAAATATATGTAATCAGATAGAGATAAGAAAATCGCATTGGTCCTTTATCCTAGGAATGAAGAATCTCATGTTGTTGCAACTTATTTGTAAGAAATGTCAGGTTCGGGTCCACTTTAGCAACATGAGGTTATCAAATCCAATCAAATCACTCGATGGATTAATAATAGGAGATGAAGAAGATTGTCTGTCGATCCTCTGCTTTGATCTTCCTTGGAAATATTTGGAATCTTCTCGAGAAAGAAAGAAAGAGAGATGGAATAAAAAGAAAACAAGACACTTAATATCAATATACATGGAAGTCTAAGATCAGTCGGCAAGAAAATCAAAATCAAACAAATATAAACATAGTCTGAGTTCAAACAAGTTTAAAATTAAACCACAAAAAAACACAGACAAAAACAGAAATAAAGAGATTCATTAGCAGCAGTATAAGTATATATATATATATATATATACTCTCTCTTTTTTATACTCTCTCTTTTTTGTTCTGTTTTCTCATATTTGTGTGTGTTCTTCTTTACTTTAGACTTTAGTTCATGCCTATCTGGATCTACGCTTCGTTGGCCTTTTCCTCTGATTAACCTTCTTCCCCGGCTGCTTCTTCCCAAAGGCTGAGCAACACCCAAACGCCGACAGTCTCGGCGACGGCGGGTCCACCGCCGGAGACACTCTCCCTGTGTTTCGATGGTGTCGTATGGCTCCTCCTCCGTTGGATCGACTCCTCTCCATACCACCGGCGCCTCCGTCAGTTCTTATAGGCTTGAGTCCGTCTCCGGCGATCTGCTCCTGTCCTTCCGATGTAATCAGCTTGGCCTGTTCGTCCTGTTGTAGAGTTTCGCCTTTCTGGTCGTTGGCCGCTTGTTGGCTTAGCTCGGCGATGAGACGATCGTCCCAGACTATACCCGAAGAGCCCTGTCGCCGGAAAGAGATGGTGGATCTCTGAAGACCCGCCATGGATGGCGCTAACTGTTCCTCCTCCGTTTTCTCTTTTATTTTTTACTCTTGTTTTCGTCGTTGTATGTATGTGTTGCTAAAAGTGGTTCATCATTGTGTTTCAGGCTAGTTCATTTCTTCCTCCTCTTTCTTATCTCTTTATAAGTTGTGTCTTTTCTAATTAACTTTTCTTTGTCGTCTTATTTTTTATATAGTTTTTTTTTTAATTATCTAACCAAATATAATGGCGATTATCGTGTTTAGATGCGTTATCATTGTATTTTATTTGTTACGTAGTTTAAACGGGAGAGGATACTCGGTCAAAGCAGCGGGTAATTATGGGAGTAGAAGAAACAAACAACGTTTTTGGGTGGTAGGTCTTGAAATTTCAATTATCCATTTTTTTAACACTAAAACTGGCCACTTATCTGCCAAAATGATGTTTATTTCAAAATTCACGCAAAAATCATGGTAGAGCATATAATTTATCAACCATAGTCCAATATGGTTTAGTTTTTCTTATATATTTCATAAGGAAATCTAGCATTTGTGACTCGTCGTTGTTCATGCTGTCGTTGCTCATGCTTGATTTGGTTAGTTCAAAGTTGAAACTTACAAGTTTTAGTAGATGACTGATTTTTCGAGATTTTTAAAAATAATAATCACACATAATTCGAACCTAATATTTCCTTAAATGGCTAAACTTTGAAAGGTGTGTATTATTTTATTTTGTAATATATCTTGTTACATGGCTTGCTTGAACATCCCATTTGTAATGTGGAGACAATAACCATTCTTTTTTTTTTTTTTTTTTTTGGGCAAAACACAATAACCATTCATGTGTCACTTTTTCATATGGACAACAAAATTTGCGTGGCCAAATCGTAACCCCCAATTAAATCTACACCGCAAATCTAATATACACATGCTTTCAAAATCTCGCTACAATTATGGAAGATTTTGAATTGATTCAAGCAGCTAAAAACGTACGCATGCGAACAAAACGGTTTTAGTTTTTTAAATTTCGATGATGGTCAGAAAGAGAAATCAAATTGTTGGAAAAAATAAGAGGCGGCTTATCCGCAAGTGTAGATTTGATGGAACACCAAATATTTTGTATCAATTTCATATGGTATTTTGGCAAAACCAACATGATCAACGGGGGTTTTTCTTTTGTTAATTGTCACTTGTCAGTCAGCTAAAGATATATATAAACAAAAAAAAAGAGTGACATGTATATATATGCGCACAATGTCAATCGCATCAGTACCAGTCAAATGGATCAGCCTTATCTTCAGAGTTCAGACCCAAAGATTACAATCCACTTTAAAAATTCAGAAACATGTACACGCATATAACTTCCAAATGTTTTTGAGAGGAATACAAAAACATGTTATTAATGCAATATAAAAATTCAGATTCTAGTGATTTTTTAGACGTTTAAATTTATTAAAAATAGAAGAATAGGGTACATTTACCAGTGACTTAAAAAAAATATAAATCCTAGTGATTTATGGTAGTGATATATACTTCCTCCGTTTCAGTTTAGCTGTCGTTTTAGGATTTAAATTTTGTTTCATAATAGTTGTCGTTTTAGGTTTTCAATGCAAATGTTTGGTGAAAATTCCAGTTTTATTCATACAATTTTAATGTTGTGGCCAATGAATTTTTTTTATAAAATATATTAATAAATGGTAAAACAGAAAATTAAATGTTTTTCTTAATTTATGTGAAAAAACTTTAAATGACAACTAAAACGAAACGGAGATAATATCACACTATTACATGGCACTCAAATTCAAAATCCGTATAGTACAAAAGGTTAAAAGACATAGAATCGATTTTTGTAAAATTTGAGTGGTTTCCTAATTCCCACAATGGTTTGACTGCGTTAGAAGGTCAAAGTAAAATCCAAAGGGAAAGAGACAAAAGAGAGGAAAGAAATGTTTGGCTCTAAGATCCCGCCAAAATTTTCACAGAACCCCTAAAAAAGATTGGAGTGTTGCCGCCATAGATTTATTTAGTCCACCATTTTCTTCTCTGGAATCCCATCGCCGCCGCGAGAATTGACATTGTGTTGGCTTGCAGATCCATCTCCGCAACCGTATGGTACGCTAAATTTAGATCTAGGTTTTTTTGTAATCATCCGTTGATTCACATATATAAAAGCCTAGTTTTTGGGCACGCACGCCAGATGTTTGATGAATTGCTGGAATAATCGATAGATGTCAAATTGAGCAAAACAAGTGAAGCAACATGTACGGGAGAAAAGGTTATCAGCTTATCAAAGATTTTGCCACCGGAGAGAAGGGTCAGCTCAAACCTTTTAACGTAAGTCTTCAAGCTCCGACCTTTATGACACCAACCAAATCTCCTCATTAATTTGATGAAATTTCGAGTCTCTGAATTTCTGTAATCTTACGTATATCAATCTAGCAAGTTTGGCCAGTGGGTATCGATGATAGCCCGACCGAATTGTTAGCTTTTCCAGAAATTTCCAGCCAATTCTGTAATTAGAAAGTACTATCTTTGATTTTCTATGAGGTGGATCACTTCTTTAACCTCTTGTATTTAATAACAGCGAAAACTCTTTGACGAGACAATCGAAGAGTGTGACCAGAATCACCATCTTATCCAGTCCTTGATAAGGTGGTATTTCTCCCTTTTTTACAAGATATACACTGGTCACAATACACTCACTTCTGATTCATTGAGGTTGATGTTTCCATTTTCAGGAAGATGCAGCAACAAGGTTTGGATGTTCAGAACAACAGAAACGCAGACCACTATGGAGCACTAATCCACCACCTTTCTTTGATCCGGAACAAGCGCTGCCTCATGGCTTATGTGTGAGAACCACTTTTGCTACCAATAACACTATATCTCGACACTCTGTTTGTTAAATTAGCTGCAATTGGTGTCGCCATGCAGGTACAACCGAGCAGAAATTGTGCGTGATTTGGCCTGGAGAGTCGGACTTGAACTTCTCGACCTTCCCTCTGAAATCCAAGAGAAGCTCACTACACTAGAGAAGGAGTACTTCAAGAACCATTCGGTAGCTCTAAAATCATACATGGGTAAAGTAGGAATCGAGTTGAATGTCGTAAGTCCTCTTTCCACCACCCTGGCTTTCGGATATCGTAACATTTGGTAATTGGATTTTTCTTATTTGGTGGACGGTAACAAGTAATCTCCTTTTGATCCATTTCTTTAAGGATATGGTGCCTCCTAAAGATCCTTATATCAAGGTCAGAATTTTGGATGATATTGATGAAGGAATCGTCCTGAGTGACAAAGCAACAAATTTTGCCCGTCATTCTATGCATTTCCTCAAACGAACTGATGCGGAACCGTACATTGCTCGGGTCAGTCTTTTTGTTTTTCCTTCCCTAAAACTAGAATGATCTAAAGCCCATAAACACCCGCTTTTTGTAATTGAGAAATTCGAAGAATGTATGCAAAAGCCTTGTTCAATTCGAGAGATGTAGATAGAACCTTGATCACAGCTTCACCTAGCAGGTTTAATAGATAAAAAGAAGACTGCTAAAGATAAATTATAACTGAAAAACGATACTATAGATTCTCTGAAAGATCTGAATAGTGATGCAAGTAGAAGTTTTAGGCTTAGAATTCAGTTTAAAAATGATGCATGAAGTGTAATGTGAAGAATTGAGTTTTGTCACATTTCTTGGTACCATCAAGATTACATAAGGGTGAAACATTTCATTTTTTTTTCCCACATTTCATAAACTGTGAGAGTATTGGTTTGTTTGGTGTCACATTTGATGTTTTACATAGTATGCCAAAGGTTGTTAATCAAATGCAGTATGATTCCATTGCCTAGTTTAAAAGGGGTCTCGTGTCCCATCCTTTGGATAAAGTGTTTCTAAATGTTGAGATCTGAATGGGATAACAGGGCCTAATGGAGGAGCTGACAGGTTGATTGATCTAATCAGAAGATGTGGTGAGCTCAGATTAATCAGGGTCGGGTCTGTGATAAAAGAATGTAAGCTTACTTAGCCTTGTATAATTGTAAGACAGGAACATGAAACCTCATACGCAAACTCTCATGTAACAATTATTTATTTTACAAAGTTACTTGTGTGGTGTATAACATCGCTAGCAATAAGGCAGTTTTGACAGCTCAAATAAACTTCTTTCCCATCTTTCAAGGCTTCAATACTCAGTCGTTTTGACAGCTCAAATAAATTTCTTGATGTTTCCATATAGTTTGATTTGATAAACATAGTCCTGACCCGTACGAGGTTCTGTATGTATGCGTTTTCGAATCCATAAACATAGGTAGATATTAATGACAAGTATAGAGACACAACATCGTGGTGAATGTTGGTTGCTACACATCTTGATGCAGAAAGGAAAGGAGAGATTCTTGCATTTTGTGACTTGCTTATATAAATTGTGTTCTTGCTCTCTCTTGCCTTTTTACGACCACTGAACTGCTTCTTCACTACATAATCACCATTGGATTCAAAACAAAATTTCCTCTTTTTTTATTTTACTTTTAATTTGTGTTGACCAGGAAAAAAAAGAGAGGATAAAACGTGGGGGTATTAATTAATGAATGGGAATGGGGATGTTCCACATACAGTACATATTTCTCTGAATAAAATTTTCCCTCTGCTACGAAATTTGTGTCATCGAAATCGAAAGCAAATGGATCTTTCGAAGAAGAAATGGGCTTCGATAATCTCCGTTATCGCTTCTTCTCTGTTTTCGTTCCTCATCGTCTTCCAGATTCCTCTTTTCTCTTTTCAGGTATCATTCTTCATTTCGATCTGATAATGGACACGCAGAAACCAATGCCACTAAAATTGATTGGAAAAATCCACCAAATTAGGGTTTCTTTCTCTGTTCAACAATGCAGGCAGGGGCGATATTGGGTTTTAGATTCTCGTATAAAGAGATTATTTGAATTGCTTGCGGTTTGTTTGTTTGTGCAGAGTAGCGTGCAGGAACAAGAGTTGTGAAACACCATTAGAGGTCGTATCCTCTGAGTTGATTGCTAGTGAATTGATTCCTTCTTCTCTTGTCAAGACTCTCCTTTTTCCTGGTGCCATTGCCAAGTCTCTTTTTGCTGGCTCCAAAATCCCCAGCTTCGACCAGTTGCTCCAGTTTTACAGTTTCGAGGACATGTACCGAACCGATATTCATCATCTTGAGGTTTGCTTCTTCCATTCTCTCCATCCATCTGGTTATACACTCCAACAATGTCAATGTACAATCTTCTGCTTCAGGTGTTTGCTGGCAGTTGTTTATGTCTACTTGGCGCTTTACTCAACCTGTTCAAACCCACAAGAATAACCTTCATTGGAACGCTTTTGATATCTTGGGGTCTTATCAGAGACATTCTTCTGCTCGACTCCGCTCACGATTGGATAAGCCCCCATAGAAACTCTGTTCGTGTCTACCCAACCCTCTTTCTCGCTTCACTTTCTGCATTTCTCTCCATGCGAAGCGACGTCAGGAAGATCATCAGATGTTGTACATCTATGCCCCTTTCCAAATCCTCTAAAGGAGACTAGGCTTCTGCTTCACTAACTTCTTAGATTCCATGACGTAGAAGAACTCACTTTTCCTCTAGCCAACACAGAAACTGTTATTTTCTGAGACAAAAAGCTGCTGTAACTTTACCATCAAATTTTCATCATGAATATGCAATCAAGGTTCACTTTTTCTTTTCCTCCTCATATTCATTATGAATTTGCTATACATATATTACAGCATCTCTTGGAAAAAGTTCATCTTCCATGAAAAAGAAAAAAACCAATAATGCTACAGATGGGTAAACTAACAACAGATGTCTGCCTATGATACAATCGTAAGAAAACAAATGCCCAAATAGAAACATACACAAAGAGGAAGGCATGCGCTTTTATTCGCAGATCTTTCTACGATCCTCTTCTGCTTCGGCTGCCAGAACCGTGAACCAGACGAGATGGTCCCCCGCTTGTCTCTGCTCCTTTGAGTTTCTGTGCTTCCAAAACCTCAGCTTCATGCATCAGCATTGCTAACTGCACAGCACACAACAGGTGTCAAACCCAACAAAAAAGCATCCATGAGAGAGCTTATGAGGAGACACATACCCGAATCTTGTTCTCCTTCAGCCTATCTTGAAGTGCGTTAATGGCAGGACTCAAGCTGCAAAAGCTTGAAGTTCATATAACGAATGGCAAAACCACGTATAAAATGTTTTAACACGCGCTACTAACCAGTATTCGATCAACTTGCACATGGAAGCCTGATATGTTGATGTGTTGTGAATGAAAGCAAGAGGATGAACTCTCCCGTCTCTAGAGAAGAAACAGAAGAAGCTTTTGCTCTAAAATATCTATGACTAGGATATGAATAACATGTATCAAAAAGATTTAATCGAAAACCTCATGCTTTGCTGCACAGATTGGTGGTACGCTGCTCGTTCCTCATCATAGAGTACTCGTTGCAGGCTTCTAAAAGATGCTAAAGGTGAATTCAGTTGAAGAAGGGATGAAGTCGGCAAAACATGAAGTGGGACTTCTTTTCTAACGTACTCCACACCACTGCACGTAAAACCCTTAGCTTAAGTAATTACGTAAATGCACGGTGCAGTGTTCATAAGCCCAAAAGTGCATGTTGAGAAATACCTGGTTTCTAAATTTGAACGGAGCATCGCCTCTTGCATACTTTCAGACATGTCCATCGAGTCAATTTCGATAGCTGTGCTGTAGTTTCCACTTGTTCCATCTCTTCCGGTGCTGTTGGCCTCAGCATTGTTGACAAAGAAAGCCCCAAAATCTAAAACCCGTCCTCCACCCTACTCAGCCACACACACATACATATCAGCCAACGGTTCAGTCAAAAATACCATGATTGTCTTAAGAATTTGAAAAATGAGTTGTATTATGCACAAATTAAAATTTGACAACTTTGAACTAAGCTCGAGTAAAATGCTATAGCTTTTGGAAAAAGAGACCTTAGATCCGGAAGTTGTAGCTGTATCACTTGTGTCTAGCTCGGGATTGTCTCCCCGAGCAGAAGAGGATCTCTGGTATATCGAGTCCGAAGAACTAAATGACGATTCTAAATCGATGACAGAGTCTTTATTTGCAAGTACCAGGCTGACTGGTTTAGGAATACTATTCGGCTTTCCATCAGAAGACTGGAAAGCAATAACTTGGATTCTACCAACCTGGAAACATCAACTAAGCCAATTCAGCAATGTGTCCAAGCTGAGAAGAACTAGTCTTGAAAAGTTTCAACTTCCTAAACCACTCATAGGAAATACTAACTAACCTTGTTAGCATCTTCACTAAAACAGGAGACTATGAGGCCAATAAAACCAGAATCTAAAAGCTGATACATAGCTTGTGTCCGAACATCTGCAGCAGAAAGAGGACATAAATAGGAGGAACAAGATAAAAACATGCAAAGTTACAATGATGAAACATACCGACATGGGAAGGAAGAACGGTAATATGAGGATGGGAGTGGTACCATCCAATCACCCGTGTAGTTTTGCCCGTTGATATCGTCATTCTGTGTCAGAGGTTAGTGAAGGAAGACTTGGTTGTTTTAAAGCAAAACCATATTCTAAAAGAGAAAAGAAGAAGCACCACCACAGATAGACCACCATCAATCTGAAAATAGCAACTTTATAAAAAAAGGAAGGATATATCAGCCTGAGCAGAAGCAGCAGCCAATTGTTCAGGATTGGTTTCAACTCGATCCTTCTGCCGATCAGACCGTGACTGAGGCGATGCTCCCCAGATCATAGCTGTGGCACTTCGCCGTTCTTTGAGTGCTATTCAATTTCCAAAACCACAACGAAGAGTTTATACATACATAGAATAAACACAACAAGATTTGAAACTCAGTGATTGTCTGGGAATTAAATTGTTCAAGCCTTATATACCATAAAAAACAGAGATTACAGAGAGATAGATTCAATCAAAACCAAGAGAACGATGAAACATTCGCTGTAGAGTAAAAGACTCTCAAGGAAGAAATCAGAATTACCTCGATGTCGCCGAGAAGGAGACCCATGATCTCTTCGGTCTCGGTGGATAATGCGTGAGTGAGGCAAGTCAACCAGACATCCTCGGACATATTAACGCATGTCAGAGACATTATTACTTCTTCGGAAGAGATCTTTAAACTTTGTATCGAGAATTCGATTTGATTTTGCCTCTTTAGATTTATCGGACAAAACTGTGGGTAAAGAGGAAGAAAGAATCGTACATTAATAAGTACTAGTTATGCTTGGAACTTGTAATGTAGCAGAGTACCGATCGCGCTATCTGATACGCTTGGGTGTACGGTGTTCCGCATTCACTCCTCAAATCTGGACCGTACATATTCTAAGTCTTTGACCATAATCATTCTTGTCCTTTGTTATTTTCTTTCATAAAAACACACAAAAAAAAAAAAAAAAAACATTTGGGCTCGATTATAATAAGCTTCAATTTAGAGGGATTTCATCCTACAAAAAAAAAAAATTTAGAGGGATTTCTTTTGGGAAAAATGTCATTAAAATCTCTAACTTATTCAAAAAGTTGATTTAAATCCTCAACTCACGACGAAACAAAATAAATATCAAACTTATGTTAACTTTCCAAATAAATATCAAACTTATGTTGACTTTCCAAATAAAAACCAAATTTTCATTGACTTGGCCATATTAGGCATGACGTTAAGTGAGTTAACAGACAATGTTAACGAGATTAATTTTCTGTTAACATACCCGCTAATTAAAAATGACAGTATTGTTGAACTATAATCAAATCTCATCTAAGTCATATAACCTAAAGTCGTATTCATATAAGTTAGTTGTTTACGTAAGAGTCACGAATGTACGTACGTATAGTTGTGTTTGTTCGTAAAGTTGTGTCTTTTCGATTAACACATGTACGTACACGTTGTTTCGTGTTGTATAAGTAGATCGAGTCAAACTCAATAACATCATTGTGTGTAATACATTTTATCTTATCAATAAAGATCAAGTTTCTTCATAAAACGAATTATCGATGCTCGTTATGTTGTAACTAATAACAAATCATATTAGGCCTCGCAATGGGCTTTTCAGTTGTTTGTTTATAATTCTTTTCTACTTATATTTTTCTTATTTTTTCTTATGTTTTTTTTAATCTTAATTTTCATTCGTACTGTTGCACTATATAAAGTTAAGTGACAAAAAATGTATTTATCTTTAGTAATTAAAATTTTGATTAGTGTCAGTGTCATATTATTTTAAGGCCAACTAAAATCTATTTATATGTATTATCTTTAACTATCTTAAATTAAAATCAAATTAAGTAAAATTTATGTCTTTAGTAATTAGTTATCTTCATTTTGACTAGTGGCGGCGCTGGATAATCTAAATTTTAATTAAGTAAATCTGTAAGTTTTTGTTTTTTAGTTATATATTATCTTAATTTTGACAAGTGTCAATAGTGTACTATGTACATTTAAATTAAGTAAAATATATGTATTCATGTAATTTATTATCTAATTATTTTGACTAGTGTCAACACCATATCATCTAAATTTAAGTAAAATTTATGTGTCTTTAATAATTTGTTATGTTTATTGACTAGTGGTGGCACAATGTTATCTAACTATTATTTTTAGTTTTAGTAGTATGCTAACTTAATTTTTAGTTTTACATTTATGTTAAATAAAATTCATTTGTCTTTAGAAATTAACTTCCTAATAATTTGACTAGTAATCTAGATTTAAGTAAAAAAATCATTTGTCTTTAGTAATTTATTATTTTCAACTTGACAAGTGGCGGCGCATAATATCTAATTTAAATTAAATAAAACCCATACACCTACAATAATTAGTTATCTAAATTAAACCAAGAAGATGTATATTTATTAATTTATTATCTAATAAAATTGACTGGTGTCGGCGCCGCATTATCTGAAATAAGTAAAGTAATGAAATTAGTTTATAAAAACATATTAAAGATGAGATAGTATTTCTAGATTTACTTCTTTAATTCATACAAAAGTAATTAAAAAGTGATATTTGTCTTAATTCTTTATTTCTGCCTAGTTTGTATAGAATGGTTGTCTTATAAGTTTTTGTGTTTTTTACCTTTAAACTTAAGACATAAACAAAGTTGTGAATTCTTTTTTTTTTTTGCATTGAATTGTTGTATTTACTTGTTGAAGTTCTCTTTTACTAAAGAAAGGGAACTCAATTTTTTATTTTTAAAAAAAAAGAAAATTATGTTTTCTTTGTTAAAGAAAATCGAAAAAGTGGAATAGAAAATAGGGGTATTTTTGTCAAATTAGACAGACGAAGGACATATGGGTAGCTTATAAAAAGCCATAGAATTCACACAAACATGCATTCAACATCAAACTTTCAATTTTCATCAAGACCAAATTTCATCGTTTTCATTTTTCTCTAAAATTTAAGTATTAATCTAGTCAAGGTATATTATTTTATCCCTTATGTCCAGTCCTTGATTGGATTATTTTCCTCGATTTCTCATATCAACTTCATATTGATCTCACTGATCTGATCTGTTAAAATTTTAGACAGCTTCTTTGAAAAAGTAGCCAATACAAGCTATTTTGCATAGCCAAAAAACTTTCTTATACATAAAGATCCAAAACTCTTGCGATTTTGAGAATAGCTTTCGTTCTCATATATTGGAGGAAAAATGTTTTAAACCATGATTTAGTGACCAGATGCACAATAAAGATACCACGTGATCTAGTTTTGTCCACTTTGTGGTTTAAGACTTAAGAGGTCCATTTCTTTTAATTATCTAGTTAATCGTGTAGCGCTTTTGTAGGTTTGATTATAAATATATGGTCATTGGTTACTAGTAATCGTTCGTGGTATGATCTTTGAGTGTGAATAAATTATTGATTTCACTAATCTCGTTAATGAAATGATAAAAATTTCACATTTGTTGATGATAAATGGATAGTTTAATTATGCTTTCACGATCATGTGCATCCAACTATGTTTTATTTGGTTTTATGAAATTTGATTTCTAACTTAAATATTGATGAATGTTGTATTTAGTCAAGTTTCAAATCATTTTAGCAGGAAAGATGTGTAAAGAAAGACGTATAATGTGTGAGTCAAGCAACAAGATCAGAGTATCGCCATACCCGCTTCGATCTACTAGGACCAACAAACTCAAAGCAATTGAGTCACCTATTGAGACAGAATGGGAGGATGTGAGGTGTGTGATCTGCATGGAACCGCCCCACGATGCTGTTCTTTTGACATGCTCTTCCTCCCTCAATGGATGTCGTCCTTACATGTGCGGCACGAGTGTTCGTCATTCCAACTGTTTCAAACAGTTTAGCAGAAACAACAGAAAAAAGCACTCAAACACTAAGACCTTACATTGCCCTCTATGTAGAGGAGAAGTGTTTGAGACGAAAAAGGCGGCGAAGACTACAAGAAGATTCATGAATGCTAAACCGAGGTCTTGCCCTGTGGATGACTGTGAATTTTCTGCCACGTATTCTCACCTTAATAAGCACTTGAAAACTGAGCATCGGGGTATTGTCCCGACAAAGGTCGATCCACAAAGGCAATGTAGGTGGGAAATGATGGAAAGACATGCTGAATATGTTAATCTCATGACTGCCGCTGGGATTCCACATATGTCTGAGGTTGTGCATCATCAACTTCCGAACAATCATCATCTACCAATGTTTCATGTGAACTTTAATGGAACCCTGCAAAATTTGATTGGTCCGAGTAATGTAAGTAACGGATTTAGTCTCGTCAACCACGCCTCACTTTTCATACCCACACTACAGTTTCGACCAATGGACATGTATCGTGGTAGGAATCCATGAAGAATCCTAAATTCTTTATTGAAAAACCAAAATTATGATTATGTTCAAAGTTCTAATGTCTTAATATTTTTCCGTTTGGATATATAATGTTTAAAATTTAGTAATTTGGATTAGTAATGTTTAAAATTCAGTATGTTGGTTGTTTATATATCAAGTTATCAACTTATCGTATTCTTCCAACGCTTTTTTAATAATATATCTTGACGAATTTTTTTATAAAGAAAAACTATTATAAAGAATACACCAACTATTTTGGTATACACCATCATCTTATCGTATAGTATCCTATATATTAGGTCAAATTATTAAAATACAGAGAATAAAAATCCTATATATTAGGTCAAATTATTAAAATATTTTGTAAATTTTTTTTTTATGTATGACTCCAATTTGATCTTAGAAAATTTTAAGAATTTTGTAGGTCTTTTAAAAGAGTTTTATAGATTTTTTCAGAAAACAATTTAAGAAAATTTTAAGAATTCAAATAACTTTGGTTTGTCCTCAGATTTTTCAAAAAGAATATTTGTTTTATTATAACTAGCGGACATTACTTTTGCCAAGAGTTGTTAAATATTCTTTTTGAAAATTAATGTATTGTGTAATAGAAGATAATACTGAGTGCAATATTACATTTAGACATGTAAATTTTCAAAAAATTTATATCTTAGTGTAATAACTAGACCGTATATTTTTTAATGGAATTTTCAGTTTTATTTATATGCTAATCCACTCCTAATTTCACTGGAACAAGCCAAAGTGCATAAAATTAATTTCGTTATTATTTGTCACCTTTAAATTATTTTGTATGATAACATCTGTTAAATTATTTTTGTTTTCTGTAAACATAAGTAGAATTAAATAAGATTTAACAATTTTCGTTTTTTTCGGTTTTTTTTTTTGGTAAAGAAGAACATATTTCGTTTTTTGTTTGTATTTGTAATGTCAGAAATTTGGTCAACGCTGGTCAATACATGTTTTACTGGACTCTGATGGCATTTTTGATAGGTCACTACCCAATTTGAAATTTGGCATGTATGGTCATGTATTTTAGTATACATTGTGCAGCTAACTATCTTTTTTCCTCAATTTTAATTTGAAAATTACATAGAAAAACACATCGTTCGAAGAGCATAAGGAGAAAGAACGAAGGTAGCATCTCAATTATTTGGCAAAAATGGCGACGAGAGCCTGAAGATGGACCATCCTATTTTCGTCGGTTTAAGGCAATCGCTGAAGCAATTGGTAGAGCACTGAGGGTGAACTTAAAAAAAAAAAAAGAACAAGACGAGGCTTCACATTTCAGAAGCCATACTCTTTTTTATTACAATAGATTGTTTCCTTGGATCAGTGATGGTCATCACCATGTCCGTCAGGAGGTCCTCCAGGGCCAACCACTTCAAGCTGTTACCAAATCGTTTTGCGTTAATCAGTTGACCAATGCCATAGCATTTACTGTGTACAAAAAAGAAAAACTATGGTAATGGCTAACCTTAAAGTACTGTGTACACACAGGGCATTCAAAATGCTTGCCTTTCTCCAACCAAAACCAGACAACATCATGCTCATCCTCTGTAGTTCACAAGAGAATGAAAACCATCATATCTCCTTTGGTCTAAAAGTACAACATATCATGATGCACACATTGAAAACAAAATAAAGAGCTACCTCCTTCACCTCCAGGGCAACCAACTATTCTCATGTCGTAGTAGGATTTGACTACAGCAGGAGCTTCCTATAGATCAGAAAACATAACATTGAGACAAGAATCCAGAGAGCTTTGCTTATTATTATATCCAATATAGTCTGTCCTTTCAATGACACAAACCTTTGTTCCAAAAGGCCCCTCGGGAAAGTCTATATCGTCCAGCTTTCTTCCCTGTCAAAGGGAATAGCAATCAGAATCAAATCAACTGCTCTCTGATGATAGATCCAAAAGGTAAATCCTACATATTATATCTTCAACCACACGCTCTAAAGCAAAAAAGAATGCTGTTTAGCTAATCTCTCTGTTCATCTTGCTTAATAACTCAAGAACTCAACAACCAGTCAGTCTCCCTAAGTTACATTTCAATATCATCTGTGTGAACCCAAATAAGGATTAGGCAGAGAAGTACCTCCAATTCGGCTTCTAGTTCCTCTTTCTCGTGACCAGTTGCTATCGGCATCACATCTTCAACACGCCTCTTCACAGCAGTATCTGCTGGAATAATAAACACAAATCAACCCCATCGTCATTTTTTTTTTATCTACCTTCCAGAAACCAAAACACAAACTACAGATAACCAGGTTTCACAACGACGATTAAACGGTATCCGTTCAATTACCTGCAGTGGAGCCGATTTGACGAGAGAAAACCGAGGAATATGCGGGAATGGAGGATGCACGAGTCGAGAGAGAAAGGTGAGTGGTCTCCACAACGGCGTGTCTACACGACGGAGCCGCGCAGGACCAACCGGCGGAGATGGATTTAAGATGCGATGAAACGATTCTCCTCCACATAATGGTGACGATTCTTCGGTAAAATTAGGTTTATCGTTCCGCTCTCAGATGATTCTCAGTCTCCGACTACCTCCTTCAACGGAAATGAAGATTGAACAAGACTTCGACTTTTTTACGTGGGCCTTCTGGGCCTGGATCAGCGACTTGGCTCGTGCCACTTGTTGACCCATCATCGTATATTCGAAACTAACACAAAAATCAAATTATAACAAGATTTTATTTGGAACGAATAGAATATTTAACTATTGTATAAAGTAAAAACTTCATTCTGAGATTTAAAATAAATTTTTTTTTCCTAAATACTAAATCTTTTAAAATAAACTTTCTAGAATTAATAATGCATATATCATAGGCTAATAAAGTTGAAACGATGATTAATAAATTTTGTGGGATTAGATCGTAAAAATTACATTTTTATTATGTAAATCAGTGCTCGAAACATAAATTACAATTAAACATTATTGTAGTATATTCAACGGAATGAGTCAACGACCCCAACTTTCATCCTCGGAGTTTCCGAACCGCCACCAGCCTGACGTCATCGATCACCGGACCACATAGCGAGCCAGAGTGATCACTCTTCATATGATAAAACGTGCTCAAGAAAGTGACACGTGTCCTGGCCGATACCGCCTTGAACACAAGCCTCCCACGTCTAAACCCGCCTTTCCCTTTAGACGCGTAATCCACCATGACCTTGCCTTGTCCAGCGAACGCCTCCACTGTCATCGGTCCCTCACAACCGTCTCTGGCGTCTCCGACGCTGAACGTGAGGGCGTAGAATTTGTTCAGTGACGTCCTTACAATCTGAGAAATGGCGCTCTCTTTGCCTCCAACAAGCTCAATGGCTCGGTGTCCTTCGGGGACAGCGAAGTGTGCTTTGTCTACGTACTTAACGGCCTTGAGAGACTCGATCATCCAACCGGGCAATGGGCTGTTATCGTCCTCGATGAACGGTGGGATCAGTACTCCCGATTTTGCCGTGGGGAACACGTAAGGTCCTTCTTCGAAGTTCCCATTCTTTATCAGATTGTCTGCAAACAGAAACAACCATTTCATTGACCGGATTCGGTTTACTCTAAAAGAGTAAAAGATATGAATTTGATCGGTTCTGGTTTACTTACATCCAGAGAATCTGGGAGGGAACAAAGCCTTGATAGCCACGGCGTCGATCAACGGTCCACAAGCCGGGTGCTCTTCAACACCCGGGTTATGGAACCGGATATGGATTTCGGGGCCACCAGCTTTAAAAGCCCATGCGTATGAGTCCCAACCATCACTGCCGTACATTGTCTGGATAGGGATCACACCTGACTCGTGTGTCACGGAGATATTGAGTTTCTCGTCTTGAGCACATGTTCTAGCGGCGCTGAACGTGATTGAGTACAGACGGCCGGGTAAGACGGAGATTTTCTGGGAGATCGAGGCTTCGTTGCCTAAGCGAACGGCGGAGGAACCCTGCGGTACGACCAAGACCATGTCGTCTTGTTTCTGACCGGATTTGATGTACTCCACAAAACCGGTTATGTCCCAGTTTGGTACGGCGGTTCGTTCCTTAACCACGGATCCTTTCAATTGGGAGGGTTTAGGACCCAACTCGAAGTTACCGTTTGGTAATAAACCTGAATGAAACCAAAAACATTAAGGAATGTTAATTTATAATCTCGGATTTGAGTTGAAATGAGCTTTAACTAGAGTTATAAATTACCATCGCGGATTGGGGCCGATACGACGACATTCGAAGAAACGAAGAGGAGGGCTACGAGGAGTGCTGCTTCTTGGTAATGGTACATTGTGACTTCGTTGGGTGATGATAGGTGAAGATCAGATGGAGAGTATAGTACTATCCAAAGGGCTTTTATGAGTTTGAGATTAGAAGAAGAACACTGGTTTTGAAGAAAACCACGGGAATGCCACTGGAAGCATCCTGGTTTCTTGTTGTCGGGTGGCACGCAGACACAAACAGCTAGCTCAGGAACATTGACTTCATGATAAGGAATTCCATTTCTTCAATGCATTGTTTTAAAGTTGCCTTCACAACCACCATTATATTAAACTATTCAAACGTAAATTGCGTATGCCTATCTAAGATATTCACATTTTCATGAGTATTAAAACATTTTTTAGCTTTTCATAAAACATTTTTGGGGAGTATATGCACGAGTAAACGCCAAAAGTAGTTTTTAAAAAAAGTTTATGATATGGAAAAAGTACACACTAACTGTTATAATATACGTTAACACTAATGCAAACAATTAACAAACAATGGAAATCTAAAATATCTACAGTGATTTTATTTTTATTGTTTTATCACCTCTCAACTGTAGTGCCATGTTTGGAAAATCAAAGAAAAGTATATTTGAGATGTCTAAAAGATTAGTCATTTAACGCCATGCAACGAAACTCAACTCTAATTAATAAAAATTATGATTTTCGTATATAATGCGACAACCCAAAGCTATTGGCGGGGCCGCAGGGTGCTGTTTTTGGAATAAATCAACAAACTTAAAAATGAATCAATATGGTAATGATTAATGTAAATATTGATCACATTAGGATGAACACGTGCAGGGGTAGGTTGTTTTCTGGTGCAGGCACGACTGCCGACTTTACCGCATTACAAGTTTCGATCAATATTTCTAATGTCCAAATTAACATGTCAACAACCATTATCATAAATCCAAACTCTTCCCAACAATTTAAATTATATATATCTGTTTTAAATTGTTAGGGATGTGAGATATATTTCCAAAATAAATTATGTTGCGATGACGAGTATGTATTGGGGGTTTGACCATATATATCACAACAGCAAAATATGCGAATTACAGTATATTGTAGCGCGAAGAGGCATAGCTAGTAGAGGGAGGGGACATTAAAAATCATTAGTTATATATATATATATACGTCAACATATAACGACTATCAGACTATGGACCTGGGAGAGAGATCACGTGCGAGAAGGCTGGAAAGATTAATTCGCCTTAATTTCAAAGCAAAGTATCTCTCTATCGATAACTGTTTTGATGTCTATCTCTAGAGGTTAGAAAAAGAGAAGATAAAAAAAAAAGAATATATATGAGGATATAGTTCGGGGTTTTGAACCCGCCGTGAATCGAACTCGCAACCTTCCGATCTGGAGTCAGACGCGCTACCATTGCGCCACGGATCCTCGGTGATTATATTCCTTCGTATAATGAGTTATAGTAACAAGTAATGAATGATAACAACAAAACCCCTCTCGCTTCTAATTTTACCGGCGGAGCAAATTAGGGTTTGTCGTTTGCATCGCTCTCGTCTCGTCTCCCACAGACAGATGTCTCGAATCTTTGTTCGTCTACCATGAAGGCCTTAATTGCAATAGATTGCTCGTGAGAGATAGATTGGCCTTTATCGTCTACCGCTTAATTTCTCCGCCGGACTCTGTTTGATTCGTGACCCCAGGTATTATTGTATTTATGGTTTGATTGATGCTCTTATGTCTTGTTGTTAGCTTAGGTTTTACCTTGAGCCATTTATTTCTACGCTTCTCTTCAGTAGAAAGAAGGGTCTACTTGTTTTAAGCTGTGAATCTTGGAAACTTGCTCTTCTCTTAGGATGGAGGAATTAAGCCAACTCTTGAAGAACAATAGAACGGACGACCTCACTTGGTTTTGCTCTCTCTCTGAATCTGAACTGGTAAAGTCTCCTTCTTTCGTCACTCAAGCAAACATTATTCGATGAATTACCGATATCCGCCCAATTTGTTTTGCAGGATTTGCTCATCAGCTTAAAGAAGCTAGCCATTCAACGCGCCAAAATAAGTGGTCACCAAGAACTAGCTGACAAATTTGATCTCAAGTTGCTCCGAGCTCTCGGTTCTCTTCTAACTTCCGAGACTTTGTTTTTTATAAATGTTGCACAATCATGAAAATTATTATTGTCTTTATTAGACATCATGATTTTTCTGTCAATCGTTGACCATATGAAAAAGGTATGTTATTCTGCAGGGCTTGTGCTAATGGAGTACGTGAGAAAAAGGGTACAAGATGATACTTGTCTTGCCCCAAGTGTTGTTCATCAACTCATGCTTTTGGATAACTGCAATTTGTTGAAAACGCATGAAGATGATACTGTAGACATGGAGGAGATTCTTACTCAGATATGCGAAAACAAATCAAAAAAGAAAGCACGGAAAAGGTTGGTACGGGAGTCTAAACAGTTAGCGGAAAGACCCTAGTGTATTTGATGCTAGATATTTATGCTTTCCAAGGAGGCGGTAGAAGCTAGCTGTTGCAATGGATAACGGAAAAGGTTGGTACGGGAGTCTAAACAGTTAGCGGAAAGACCCTAGTGTATTTGATGCTAGATATTTATGCTTTCCAAGGAGGCGGTAGAAGCTAGCTGTTGCAATGGATGGGGAGCTCCGACTGCTTTAAAATGAACAGCAGCATGAGTACAAGAAGATGGAGTTGGCCAAGAATGCTCGGTGTTTGGTCATTCTTCTTGATGCACGGTGGTTGCAACTGTAAATGTTTGTAATTTTGATTGAGGATGGTGTCCTTACTTGTGATTTCCTTCGAGTAGTTGATATAGCAAAATTAGATACTTTGTGGTCTGTGGCCAAAATTTTGAAAAGTTGTATTAGTGTATGGTTAATATTTAACCAAAGAGATCATTTCTTGATTTGAATGGCAAAGTTGCTTGGTTTGGAGACTAACGAGTATCCCGCTTCCTTGGTCATCTCTCACGTGTCATTTTGTCAGGGGGTGATCATGAAGTAGTATTCTAAAAGGATGGGGTCACTCGTGAATAGTACTGAGTATAAGTCCTTAAAGTGCAAAAATAGTCAAGGAAGAAAGTTCTTTTACAAAAGGGTAATCTAGTAATTCCGGATAAATACAACGGGCCTTGGTTTGATCGGCGACGCTTCTCTTCACTCACTGGCAAGCTGGTTCGATTTCCCTCGTATGTTGTGCTATGGGAATCAAAACTAACGGTGGTGTTTAAGTATCATAACCCAGTTATGGAGTCGTTGCTTCGAGCTGATCGCGTAGAAACCCTAATTCCTGGAGCGGTGTGTAGTCACTCAGAACTGGCCCTTCCCTCAGTGAGCGTGACTGAATTGGATCTGGTAATTCTCTCAATCCTTTCTTTCGACTTGCTCAGTTTTCTGCTTACTTTGTATTTCTTTTGATAGGTGAGAGGTCTATTGCAAGGTCTGTCTAGTCCCTTCCTTTTCTGGGACCAAACTGGACAAACTTTCCGCGCGAAAAGTCATATACGCGTCTCCCATTTGTCTCACTCAAGCCTTCACGTCCTTCTCGCTGGATTCTTGTATGCCGCTACTTGTTTGAAGCTCGTGGAGTCTATCGTTGCTGCCATTAATACCTCTCTCAGCTCTCCTCCTACCTTAATGGCGTTCTCTGACTCTGTCTCCGCATGGCTTGAGGCAACTTTCCTCAACTTTCTTTCTATTTTGTTTCTTTAACGTTTACTAATTTACACTACTTGGCATTGGATCAGAGACTCAGAGATATTGCTTTGAAAGAGGAAGTGATGATCAACAATTCTGATATTACTGTTACTCCAACCCTCTTGGGATTGACAAGTTCTTTATCTAGGTGTCTAGCCTTCATTCTTTTATATATCGAATGCTATTTCTCAAATTACTTTGTGTTCATATTTTTATTTAATGTCATTCTTCTTATTTTCTTTTCCATGTACAAGTCTTTGTTCAGGTGCTGAATATCTCTTACAAGTTGTACATGCGGCGATCCCTCATTCGTTTTTTGATTCAAGTTCAACTGTCTCCGCTGCTGAAATTGCTTTCCATGTTCTTGATTACCTTTACAAGAAGCTGGATGAAGTATGCCTTGTACAAGGTGGTGAGGTTGTGGCCGTTTTCATGAGTTTATGTGTTTTTTTTTTCTTTGTTGGTGATCACTTTCGTAATTGAATTAGTGATAAATATTTGGACCAGGTGGAAGGATTTCACATGCTGTTGCAAATGTTTGCTGGAAGTTTATTGCCATACATAGAGGGTTTGGATTCATGCTTGTTTGAGGGAACACTTGATGATCCTTGTGAAGAGGTTAGTGTTCCATGGGTGTTCAACGCTTTTCTTTCTAGCAATTTATGCTTCAATATCGAGTATTTTGTATAAGGCTAGCAAATTGAGTGTCTTATAGTGATGAATTCTTTGATTGCAGTTGTTTTTTACAGCCAACCAATCGGTCTCCGTTAACGATGCAGAGTTTTGGGAGAAAAGCTATCAGTTGATGAAGGTGCCCAACCCAAAATCAAATGTAACTTCCCTAAATGAAAAGAAAGTAATCAGTGGACATGACGCCAACTCGTCTTTAGTTTCTGACAAAGACAAAGAGCAGAATACTGGGGTGTTATGTCCATTGTTCATTAAAGACATCTGTAAGTCTATTGTTTCTGCTGGAAAGTCACTGCAGCTGATGCAGCATATTCCTTCCACGTCTTCAGAAAATTCTGGAAAGACTCAGTTCCATGGGCGAAATGGTTTTGGGAATTCTGGCTGTGGTAGACTCCTGGCTAAAAAGAGTAGCTTTAGTAGCACTGCAGACTTATCCTTGTCTGAAGTCTTTTGTTTGACACTCGCCGGCTTTATAGGCCATGGGGATCATGTCTCTAGATATCTGTGGAAAGATGAGGCGGACAAGTGGGAGATTTCTCCAACTTTAGCATCATATATTAGTGGAGAGCTTGTGAATGGCATGGATGATAAAGATCTTCCAGTTCTCACATGCTCAGAGCGAATGTGGTATAAGTTGTTGGTTGATGCTGTGCAAGAGAAAAGAGCTATGGAGGCCAAATCACAACTCCAGAATGCATGTTATGCTACAGGTGTTAAGGATGGAAATAGTGGTCTCACTGCCCAAAAGGCTTTGCAGGGGTTGTTCTGTAATGAAAACCTTGTTGTGTCAGTATCTAAAATGGATCTTGAGAGGAATAAAAATGCTTGGAATGTCTTGAACTTGTCACAAAACTATTGTCTACCCTCTCTTAATGATGAGAGTCTGTTGAGTGCTGTTTTTGAAGAATCTGGCGTGGCAGATGCTGGATTGAGTGGAACAAACTACAAATTTGGTTTCCAGCTTGGTAGATCTGAATATCTTTCTTCTCAGGATGACACCAAAATTCTAGAAACATTATTTCCCTTTCCTACTTTGCTTCCGTCATTACAGGTACTTTGATACTGAGGATTTATGATTATTTTATGGCCTTTTTTTTCGATTTTCTCCTATTTGCAATAGTTTCTGTTTGCTTATCTTGAAATCTTTGTGATCAACAAAAAAGCCGAAGCTCCATCTGTCAGAATTCTTACCTTTCCAAAAGAATAGTACACTTCCTTCAAGAGTTCTCAGCTGGTTGCTAAAGGCAGAGCCAATGGATACTCGACTTCCCATTGTAATTATGCAGGAATGCTTCACAATTTACATCAGGAGGCAGGTACGGTGATGTAATCTTCAACATTGCTGCTTGTGCCTATGGCATGCATACTTTTATTACCTTCTGAAAGTTGTGCATGTTTTAGGTGGACTACATTGGCAAAGTTATTTTGTCAAAACTAATGAATGACTGGAAATTGATGCATGAACTTGCTGTATTGCGTGCCATTTACTTGCTAGGTTCAGGTGCGTTTTATGTGCTCAACTGCTTTGGCAATAGGGTTGTATCTGAAATCTTAATAACCCCTTAAAATTTTCAGGGGACCTGCTGCAACATTTTCTGACTGTCATTTTCGATAGGCTGGGAAAGGGAGAGTCATCAAATGATGATTTTGAGTTGAACATAATACTTCAGGTAACCAGGTTTGGTGAACTTTTTTCAAGAGACACTGCTCTCATCTTTATAGTTGTTATCACTTCTAAAATGATTACGGTTGTTAATTGTTTGCTTATGTATCTCTGTTCTATTGCCGTATATGTGTTCATACAGCAAACTTATTTCTAAAATGGAATGGTCTTCTACAGGAATCAATTAGAAATTCAGCTGATGTCATGCTGTTAAGCAGTCCTGATTCATTGGTGGTATCTATTTCCAGAGAAGACAGAGACAAAGATGATAAGGGTGACATAGTACCCCTTTCTTCAACTCGTAAAAGTCGCGTTAACAGCTTTGGAATAGATTGTCTCGAGTCTCTTAAATTCACATACAAGGTCTAGAGAAATAAAATTTAGTCTTCCATCCAGTGCGTATTGGTATATCTCATAGGCCACATCTATGTGTATTTGAAGAGCTGAACTGTTTTCTTTTTTAAGGTGCCATGGCCGCTTGAGCTTATTGCCAATAGTGAGGCCATTAAGAAGTATAACCAGGTAACCTTTCTCATCCAGCTATATTTGTGGTAAATAGTTTGTTGTTCCTCTATGTGTTAATTATTTAATTGAAAACAGGTGATGGGATTTTTGTTGAAGGTCAAGCGAGCAAAATATGTGCTTGATAAAGCACGAAGGTGGATGTGGAAGGTGTTTGATATCTCTCAAACTCATTTCTTTCTTCTTAGACTGCTTCCCGTGACATCCAAATCCAGTTTGAAAGAGCCTAATCAGTCTTTTGATCATACAAATATATATATAAAGGGAATCATTACAATGTGGTTCAGTTTGATAGACTTGATGACTTTGGTGTTTGTTTATAATAGGGCAAAGGCTCTGCAACAAAAATTCACAAGCACCACTGGTTACTGGAACAAAAGCTCCTCAACTTTGTGGATGCTTTTCATCAATACGTAATGGACAGGGTATTGTCTGATGCTAAGTGATTGGTTTATAATTAGTATCATTTTTCGTTGGAGAAATATTTGTGCTAGAATTGTGGCAAAATTGAAAGCTGATCTCATGGCTTGTATAAGATGAAAAGCTTATCATGCTTAACTGTATTTTATAAACAGGTATATCACACTGCGTGGCGTGAACTGTGCGAAGCGATGGTAAAAGCAGGGTCTCTGGATGAGGTCATATATGTACATGAGACCTACTTGTTATCGATTCAGCGGCAATGCTTTGTGGTTCAAGAAAAGCTGGTAATGGACCATTAAGCGAGCTCTTAAAATGCATAATATATATTTGAAATTGTAGGCTTCTAAAAACCTAATGTTTGGTGGTATTTTGTGTAGTGGGCAATCATCGCAAGTCGGATCAACATGATTCTCGGTTTAGCTCTAGAATTCTACTCAATACAACAGACACTGAGCAGCGGTGGAGCAGTTTCAGCCATCAAGGCTAGATGTGAAATGGAAATAGACCGGATCGAGAAACAATTTGAGGACTGTATTGCTTTCCTCCTCAGAGTAAGTAAATCGAAAACTGTGTACTTGTTGTAATTTGAAGCTCTATATATAATTGATTAATGCTTAATGGGGGAATGGAACTTGCAGGTATTATCTTCGAAGCTGAATGTGGGACACTTGCCTCATTTGGCTGATTTGGTGACCAGAATAAATTACAATTATCACTACATGTCAGACACTGGAAGCTTGATGACCAGTGCTGGAGCAGAGACCAACTCATCCAGACCCAAGACTGCCAAATCTGATGTATGAATGGACCGGGAATTTATCGGAAATGTTGGATCGTCGCAACTATCACGCTTTATTCTTCAAGTCTCAGGCTTGGCTTGAGGCTGGTGTCTACTGTTTATAAGATTCACTATTTTGAATTAGATATTTGTACAAAAATGCTATCAAGGTTTGTTATTTGTACCATGTTTAACCGGAAATCATCAAGTTTAAACTCTAATCGTGACCCCCTGGCTACTATGCAATATTTGATAATTTAGCATTAACGAAAAAAAAAAGAGACTATAATTTTTTTTTTTTTTTTTTTTTTTTTTGACATCTTTGGATCGACAAGACCCGATCCATAGCCAATCTCTACTACGCGGGGTAACGCGATTTAGTGGAGTCGAACTCCGGTGGGGAAGGCGGAGTCAAATGAACTTAACCATTTGACTAAAGGCACATCTCCGAGAGACTATAATTAAGGTTATAGGTTTTGAGTTTATTAGGAAAGGCCCATTTATATGATGCAATTAAGCAAACCTTGTTGGAGGACAAAATGGTCAAAAGAAAGAAAACGTAAAACCCTAAAAAAACATTTCGTTTACACTCTCGACTTGTCTCAATTCTCTGATAAACCCTTGTAGGCTCTCTACTCTCTAGCTCACATCCCATTTCTTGATCGGCTCGCGCACTGTGTGTTTACGTACACGTAATCTTCTAGATTCTTCTGTTTTCCTTGTCTAATTCTCGATTTTCTCTTTTTATCGTTTCATTGAAAGGCATAACCTTTCTTTTGAATCTGATTAAAATGAATCTTTTTTTTTTTTTTTTTTAATTGAAAGAGCAGGTAATTTTCCAGAAAGATTTTCAACGGAGGAAGCATGTTCGCTCTTTCCAAGGTTTTGCGGAGGTAAGGATCTCCGTTTTTGTTCGAAACAAGTGTTAGAGATGTCGCAATGAATGGCAGGGAATAAAATTGAAATTGAAGCATGCTTTTGATTTGCCATTGAAATATCTGTGTTGATTAGCACACTTTTTTCCAACTTTTTTTGGTCAATTTTACAGAACGCAGAGACTCCGACTGGGAGCTTGTTCTGCTGTGTACTCAAAAGATATACAGTCAGGAGGAGAAAGGAGCTTTGTCTCTCTTGATTCCAATTCGACTGTTTCTAATAAACGTGAAGCTGTGCCAAGATTTTACGAGATCTCCTTTTTGAGTAAACGTGCACTTTCCTCCAATGCTGGCACTAAAAGCGATCAAGAGGAAGACGACCTCGAAGACGGTTTCTCAGAACTGGGGAGTTCAAAGTCTGCCCAAGATACTACAAGTAGTGATGATGATGAGGGAAAGCTCTCCGCTGATGAAGAAGAAGAACTAGAACTAGACCTCATTGATGATAGTAATAAAACTGTTGAAAAGAAACCATCTGAGCTATTTAAGACCATTGTCTCCGCACCAGGTCTGTCTATAGGTAGCGCACTTGATAAGTGGGTGGAAGAAGGAAATGAGATCACTCGAGTCGAGGTTGCTAAGGCGATGCTCCAGCTGCGCAGGCGTCGCATGTATGGAAGAGCGTTACAGGTAATTCTCTTCTTACTTGTCATTTAAATTTCTGTATATGAATTGCGTCAAGTCCTTACGTTCATTTCTTTTCTGTTTGTATAGTTGTCAGAATGGTTGGAAGCAAATAAGAAAATTGAAATGAATGAGAGAGATTATTCTTCTCGGTTAGATCTGACAGTTAAGATACGTGGCTTAGAAAATGGAGAAGCTTATATGCAGAAGATCCCGAAATCTTTCAAAGGGGAAGTGATTTACCGTACCCTCTTGGCGAATTGTGTGGCTGCTGGCAATGTGAAGAAATCCGAACTGGTGTTCAACAGAATGAAGGACTTGGGATTCCCTCTCTCTGGATTTACTTGTGATCAGATGCTTCTCCTCTACAAGAGGATCGACAGAAAGAAAATTGCTGATGTGCTATTGCTCATGGAGAAAGAAAATGTCAAGCCAAGTCTTCTCACTTACAAAATCCTGATTGATGTCAAAGGGGCAACAAATGACATAAGTGGGATGGAGCAAATTTTGGAGACAATGAAAGATGAAGGTGTTCAACCGGACTTCCAGACACAAGCTCTCACTGCTAAACACTATTCGGGAGCTGGGCTTAAAGAGAAAGCCGAGAAAGTCTTGAAAGAGATGGAAGGTGAAAGCTTAGAGGCAAATCGCCGGGCATTCAAAGATTTGCTCTCCATCTATGCCTCTCTTGGGAGAGAAGATGAAGTGACGAGAATATGGAAGATCTGTGAATCAAAGCCCTACTTTGACGAATCCCTTGCTGCAATCCACGCTTTTGGAAAGCTCAATAAAGTGCAAGAAGCAGAGGCGATTTTTGAGAAGATTGTGACGATGGGCAGAAGAGCTTCTTCTAATACTTACTCCGTTCTCTTGAGGGTTTACGTAGATCACAAGATGCTCTCAAAGGGTAAGGATCTCGTTAAACGAATGGCTGAGAGCGGTTGCAGGATCGAGGCAACGACATGGGATGCACTCATCAAGCTCTATGTGGAAGCTGGGGAAGTTGAAAAGGCTGATTCTATGCTGGACAAGGCATCAAAACAGAGCCATACAAAACTGATGATGAACTCCTTCATGTATATCATGGACGAATACTCAAAACGGGGAGATGTTCATAACACAGAGAAGATATTCCTAAAAATGAGGGAAGTTGGGTATACATCTCGGCTTAGGCAGTTCCAAGCCCTCCTGCAGGCTTACATAAACGCTAAAGCCCCTGCATATGGAATGCGAGATAGAATGAAGGCCGATAATATCTTTCCAAACAAATCCATGGCTGCACAGTTGGCTCAAGGTGATCCATTTAAGAAGACAGCTATCTCTGATATTCTGGATTGAGTAGTCTCTCTCTCTTCACTTTTCTTATTTCTCCTTGCAAGAAGTATCTCATTTGTCGTCCTAACGTTTAGTTTAAGAATCTGCTTAGTTGCTGCGTTTTTAATGTTTCTGTTGGGTTCTTTGGTGATCACACTTCAGAGACCTTCAAGTCTCGTGACCTTTAGGAGTACACAAAGAGTACAATAGAATGACATTTTCAAGCTGCGCCTATTCTATACCGCAAAATCTTACAAAGATTTAGCAGCTCAGCCACTCTTCATTTTAAGTGGAAAATAAACAGAATTATTCCAACCATTAACAACTCTGATGAGAAAAACAGAGAATGATACATTAACTCTGCTTATAATGAATACAGAATTACCAAGACCTCAAAATCACCCCAACTTCTTTCCTTTTGGGGCAGATTAAAAAAACCCGCAAACACTAATCGATTGTCAGCTAAGAAGACAACTAGACGTGATCACTCAGTCACTCACTCCTCACTAAGTACAAGTCTGCTAATGAATGGGGACATGGCTGCAAGAAGCGCCTTGGGACACTCCTCATGTGGCAGATGTCCGCATCCTGAGATCGCTACTAGCCTCTGTTTGTTGGCATGTATAATGTTAGTTGCGTATCAAGAGAGTTTATGTGTTTGATTAGATATATAGAGGACTTACAGAGTTTACGAGTTTTGAAGCCATGACTTGGGAGGACTTGAGGGGAACAAGTGCGTCTTCTGCTCCAGCAACGACTAATACTGGTAAGTTTTCCACTGCCTTGAGAAGTGACAATGCATTTTGAGTTGGAAGCACCATCTCGGATGAGAGTCTGCCTATCTCGTGAAGCGCCTCATCCCAGCCTTCCACATAAAGTGGTGCCTTGTATAGCCTTAAGACATCTGTTGTCATCTTGGCAGGATCATACCAAGTTCGGCGATTCACCACCTGAGCTATTTCAGTGCGTAAAAGCGGACGAACGAGGTGTTTCTTTCCTAGTGATGTGTGCAGAAGTATTCTTGCAAAAGCTGGCACTACTTCCCTCGTCAAGCTTACATTAAGCAAAACCACTCCTTTTACATTGATGGGATCTTTTGATTCTTGCAATCTTTGTGCAGCCTTGAGAGCAAGCAAACCTCCATCATCATGGCCAACCAAGACTACAGAAGCAAATTCCATTTCGTGGCAAAAAGCAAGAAGCATATCTACCTGAAAACATCAGCAGATCATTGAATTTTAACATTTCTTTTTAAGTGCAAAGACAAAGCTCCCATGAGAAATAAATATAGTCCGGAATGGAAGAGAAATTTACCTGATTTTCCATAGTGTAAGGGTTAGGCATCTCTCTTTCTTCCAAATCCTTTTTATGAGGTCTGGCGGTTAATCCCCAACCAGGCCTATCAAATGCAGTGACAACACAGCCAAGCTGATGGCCAAGAGGAGCCATCACATGTCTCCAAGAAAACACTCCTCCGCCAAATCCATGGACCAACACAACACCAAATTGACCGCTTCCACCCACATTTTGCTGTTCCGTGGCACCGAAATTGGACACATTGATGACATCCTCTCGGCACGCTTCTTCCTGACGAGGAGAAGTAGGAGAACCATCTAGGAGAGGGTCGTGCAAGGAAGAAGAATTGTTAAACAGACTGCTGTAGCTCCTATGGTGGTGATGATTGAGCTTGTTTCTCGTGACCATGCTCAGTATATTCCTGTCAAGCTTCAACCTTCCCGCCATGGCCTCTGGCATGTTAAGCATAGAGTTGGCTTCAACTGTTGAGTGGCGAGGAGTACCAGGTGTGCAAATCTTGTAATGCACAGTGAGCCCTCTGACTGTAATGAATAAGCTGTCAAGATCAGCAAGCAATCTCGCAGGAAGTTCTCCTTCATCGTTGGATGCTGAAGAATGTAGCTTTCGTCTTGCCTCGCCATCAATCTTGGAGGCCTTTCCTACCAAAGGAATTGGAGAACGTGGGACTTTCTGGTAACCAGAGAAGACACTTTTGCAAGAAAGAACCTGCAACACAGTCAATAAGATAACAGATCTCCAGTTAAACAAAGATCAAAGCTTTGGAGCAAAAAGAGAAGAAGAAGAAGAAGATGATAATAGTAACAAACTCACAGCTTCAGGGTCCACTCTGTGATACAAGAGTTTCCTCCTAGCTCTGCAACTTGTTCTATAAGCAACAACCATATGACCAAGAGCAAAAACCACAGACGAAAGGAACAAAACTGGCATCCCCCAAGACTTGTTCAGATGGAGTCGTTGCCTTGACGGAGAGGACGAGGCTTCGGCGTTAAGTTGAGAATTTGCAGTAAAAACGCAAGCTTTTACTGATAGAAGAATAATTGAAACAACAGAACACAGCGACACAGTTCCTAGGTAAGGGCCGTGCGAGAGTGCAGGAGCATCGGATAGAGAGTAGACACCTGTACATGAACAGAACAATACTATCAGATGGAGAACAGGCAAAACTCATAAAGAAGGAGGAGGATGGTCCTTACAGATGACAAGGAAAGATCTGACGAGGGAGACGAGAGGAATATCAGTCAGAGAGCTCTTGAAAGCGTATCGACTCAGATGCTCCTTAAAGCCGTAGCACGTCAAACAAGTAAAGCTCGAAAGCAAAAAGGTCGGAACCAACACGTCGCCGATGGCTACAAGCACAGGCAACGACGAAACTAACAGCGAAACCAACATCGCAACCATGAAGAAGACCGTCCTTAAGCATCTTCTCGCTTTCTCTACGATAAACCAACCTTTCCCCATTCTTTCCCCGAAATATTCAAATCGGAGATCGTTGGATTGAATCCGATACAGATCCTTAAATTATGTGGGAGTTGGAACCCTAGAGAGAAGAAACGGAAACGACCAACAATCCACCAACTTCGGAGGATTTCGCGACGAAGGTGGTGGCGAGTTGGCCATAAGCCGGCGGCGAGGATGAAGAGAAAAAAAAAGGAGACCCCTTTTATTACACAATGAGAGAGACGGATCAAAAAAGAGGGAAAGCCATTGCTACGATTCTGAATGAAGATGAAAAGCTTGAGGAATTTCAGAATCGCAGGAACGGCGAAACAAGGAAGAGAAGAAAAAAAGAGAAACTTTTGGAATTACAAAAACAAAAACCTCCGTTTTCTTCTGCTCCTATTTTTCTCTACAACGTTTCTTTCTCTCTTTTTTTTTTAAAAAAAAAACCTTCAGTAGATATAAATAATCATATGCTTTTACACAAAGAGGTCTGGGGTTCGAGTCCCAGATATTGCGATTTATTAACAAATTTGCAGATTAATGGAGGCAAGTGTGCAGGAGATCTCCAGCGATGTACAATTATAGCCGTTCGCCAGGATTCTACGCAGAGAAGGAAGTGTCGCCAGGTCGTGGATCATTGAAGGTATTCATCAAGATCATGAAGAAGGAAGTGTAGTCTGTCGTTGATCTAGTAAGGGTCGGAAGGAATTGTCAGTTGTAGAATCGTCTATGTAACAGTTCTCATAATTTGCAATTAATAATAAATCTAGACGACAAAAAAAAAATATATATATATAAATAATCATATAGTATTATTATTACGAATATTCAATTTCATTTATTAATTAATTTCTTCGTTTACGTATATTTTTGCACGATTCTGCCCAGGCCTATGATATCAGTTACCATTTTACCAGAAAAGTCTTAATTGGCCTAATATACTCTTGATATTATTAAAACATTTAAAAAAAAAGGAAATGCGATTATTACTTAGCTGTTTTATCTATTAAAATAGTACTAGTTGCTTATATTTATGGAAATAATCTTTCTTTTTCTGGAAATAATGTTTCTTTAGAAAGTAAAATCTGATAAGACATGCATTTTCAGTATTAAGGAAAATTCAGAAATCTTTGTATCTGAGTTAAAGAAAAAGGAAAACAATGTAGATGACGGTTATACCCCTATAGAGAAGTACTGTAACAGTGACAACGGATAGCGGGAGGAACGAGGCCGTTTCTTTTTTTTATTAATTGTTATTCTTATTTTATTATTTTGTGACCGTTAACTTTCAAAGTTGGATTTCGTGAGGTTTTTTTCTGAAGATTCTTGTCGGGGACCATTTTATTTACATAGCAGTCCCTACATTCCTCCTCTTTTTCCAATCACTCTTGTCTATATCTTAAATTAACAATATGGGCCATCCATTACTTGTATCGCTTTTTCACATGTTATATGCATAAATTAAGTCCCGTCACCAAACTATCTTGTTGTAACTAGAAAGAAATTTTGTGTAATCCGACTAAAATGTCACTTAAGTCAAGTCACAAATATCAATGTATATACTAATCAAATCACATGCCTAGCTAGTTGATGGAACAAGGTTTGCTGATATAGGTGCTTTAGTTTTGTTGACCATAGAGACAACCCAAATGCATGAAAGTTCAAACACAGCAAGCACACACACACACTTATAGTAGAGAGAGATAGATTGCATATAATATAAAAGGCAAACTACCAACTGAAAAAGAGCAAAGATCACGTGCATGGGTCCCGAATCCACTCTCTGCACTTTCACGGTTTGAGCAGCTCACATGGGACCATACCTGCTGCCGCATCTAAAGCTGCCCGATGTACAAACCCCTTCGCTTCCCCACCACCATTTACTCACTTTCATGCATCTCTCACTCCCTATGTTTCAATTTTAGATCTTTTTTTTTTTCTTGGGGCAAAAGGTTTATAACTAGATCTCAATATTCATTCGTTTGTTTTTTTGTCTCCGTTTCTCTCTACAATGGAATCCGAGGCAGAGGATTCTGTCATGAGTTGTTGATATTGAATAATGTTTTTGTGCTTGAAATCTGAAGACTAATTTATTAATTAATTAGGCAGTAGTGTACCTATGACTTTGCTTAAAATAAACGACCAACTTGTTTCTGCGCTTTGTCATTGAGTTAAATGACACACATGTTTTGTCGGTATAAGTGTGCTGTGCTGTGCTGTGCTGGCTTATAACAAACTAGACACTCTATATAGCCTAGCTAGCATTTCATCTAACTCTCCCGTTTCGTTAGTTAAATCAATGGTTTATGGTTACATTCCTATACTCCTCAAGTAAGTCGTTAACATACATACCCAAAAAAGATGTATGGGCTTCATTTTTTTGAAACTCCATTGGGCTTAGTTACATTTCTTATTGGGCTTTATTAATAAAAACCCACACGGTCGCGCTTACTTATGATTTGACTTTTTAGATTCATGTGCGCCGTTGATTTAGCCTGGAACCGCCTAAGATGATTGATGATGGTCCAACACCAACTAGTCAATCGGAATTGCAACTCTCTCCGTCTCGAGATCCCGATGCCGGAACACCATCAGCTCCTGCTTCTTCCGAGGTAATTTTGTCTTTGCCTGTTTGTTTGTTGACATAGACACACGCACGCTTATTGGAAACGAAATTGCGATCCACCCTCGAATGCAACATCCATCGCTCTTCTCTGTTTCATGGATCAAACTGATAGGTTGATATGGGAGTTACTAGAAGTAGGTTCTATATCTGGTTCCTGTTCCTCTTTGTTACGGATCTCGTGTCCTGCCGCACGCTCTCAGTGGATCCGGATCCGTGTGATTCAATGAACCAGAGAGACTTTCAGAAACTAAGATCGGATCAGATCACCGTTCTAATCAACGGTTACTCTGAATACCGGATTCCTCTTCTGCAAACCATCGTGGCCTCTTATTCTTCATCCTCAATCGTATCATCCATCTTAGTCCTTTGGGGTAACCCTAGCACACCTGATCAACTACTTGACCAGTTGTATCAGAATCTCACTCAGTATTCGCCTGGTTCTGCTTCCATCTCTCTAATCCAGCAATCTTCTAGCAGCCTCAACGCCAGATTCCTCCCTCGTTCCTCTGTACACACTCGTGCTGTTCTGATATGTGATGATGATGTCGAGATTGATCGGAGATCGTTGGAATTCGCATTTTCCGTGTGGAAGTCCAATCCTGATCGTCTTGTAGGAACGTTTGTGAGGTCACACGGTTTCGATTTGCAGGGAAAAGAGTGGATATACACTGTGCATCCAGATAAATACTCCATCGTGCTGACCAAGTTCATGATGATGAAACAAGATTATCTTTATGAGTATAGCTGCAAGGGAGGTGTGGAGATGGAGGAGATGAGGATGATTGTGGACCGAATGCGTAACTGCGAGGATATACTGTTGAATTTTGTAGCTGCAGATAGGTTAAGGGCAGGGCCAATCATGGTTGGAGCAGAGAGAGTTAGGGATTGGGGAGATGCGCGTAACGAAGAAGAACAAGTAGTTGATGAGAGAGTAAGAGATGCAGGATTGAGCAGTAGAAGAGTGGAACATAGGAAGAGAAGAGGGAAGTGCATCAGGGAGTTTCATAGAGTTATGGGGAAGATGCCATTGATGTATAGTTATGGTAAAGTTGTCGACTCTGTTGGGGAACAAGGATTGTGTCGTAAAGCCGGAAAGCTTGTGTTTTGTGACCGAGATTGAACGCTCTCTATAGTTTGTAAATTTGGTGATCTTAAAATCCTAAAAGGATGTGCAAGTTCATCAATCGTATACTGGGTGCCAAAGATAGGGTGTGGTTTAAAGATAGGGTGCCAAAGCATGCCTTCATCTGCTGGGTGGTTGCTTGGAACCGTTTGCATACGAGGGACAGATTGTCTAGTTGGGGTTTGATTACACCAACTCTGTGTGTTCTGTGTAATACCAGAGATGAATCTCGCGATCACTTGTTTTTCGAATGCGAGTATAGTGGTGCGGTCTGGAGATTCTTTATGACTAGAGCGGGGTTATCTCCTCCAAATCAGTTCATGGATGCTCTCCTCTGGTTAAAGACTGCCACTACATCCAGGAATTTGTCTCTTATCATCAAACTCATCTTTCAGGCAACGATCTATCTTGTTTGGAGAGAGCGAAATGAGCGAATTCATTCCGATTCTTCAAGAACTCCTCAGCTGATTATTAAAGAAATACAATTGATCATCAGAGCGAGGCTGGATCCTATCTCTAGGGCTCAGTCGTCTGTTCCTCTCGGATCTTCCCTCTTGGTAACTTGGTTTTCTCTTTTCCAGGATCCTTAAAGGCGTCAGGTTGGTGTTCGTGCTGGCTCAATGCTGGTTTGGTTTGCTTTTTCTGGGTTTGGGCCTGTCTTCTGCTCTGGTTTTCTTTTGTTTGCACCTTGTGGTCGTCTGGGCCTATGGGTTGTGTCTGTTGTTTCTAAGTTTTCTGTTGGGCCTTGTGGCCGTCATGGGCCTTCGGGCTATGTATGCTTTTTTCTTTTTAATGGAAATTAAGTAATTTAAAAAAAAAAAAAAAAAAAAAAGTCTAGCAGATGAAGTAAACTCTTACTTTACTTGAAAAAAAAAAAAAAAAAAAAAAAAAAAATCGTATACTGTAATGGCAACATGGAAACTAAAACACTAGTGTAAAATTGAGTTTTGCTAAACGAAGAAGCTGGCCTTTGAGAAATATTATCCGTTTGTAGATGGGCTTTGCAAACTATACAGGCCGCATTATACATAACTGAATCCAGATATCTCAAATTCTGGACCAAACTCAAAGATAAAAGCATAAAATCTATTTAACTAGGATTTTTTTATAGCATTTACTTTAAACTACATATAATTATTAGTTAAAATTATTAACCAGTAACATTAGAAAAAAAAAGAGATGTATACTAATAATTATATGTAAAACAAATAAAACTGAGTGTATTTTACAAACTTATAAAATGGTTAATTTATAGCGTGTAGGCGTTACCTACAATGTTATCATTTTGTACACAAAAGAAAAAGAAAAAAGGTGCTCAATAAGTTAAAAATGGCGTGGCAAATACGGAGCCGTCGGAGGATTTTGGTTTTAGAAAAAAAGACAAAAAGAGAGAAATATCTAAAAAATGCGGGAACGAGGCAGTAGCTGTCACAGCCGCAGGTGGTGACGTGTCTCCATAAAACACCGTTTATGTGCCTTCGGTAAAAGTGCCTCCATACGTTCATCTCTAGAACCGTTAGCTTTGGGCCACGTGGAAGAAATCAGTACTGTTCGATGTTATACTTCTCGTGAAATGATTTGGTCCCACGTTACAAGTGTTAATGTTCCTCAAAGAAAAAGAGAATAAAGAGAGAAAAGGATCAAGAGGAGAGAGTGAGAGTATCGGATCTTCCTAAACCATAAGCAATGCAGCAGCAACACGCTCCATGCCTTTGGATATTTCTTGGCAACTTGTAAAACTGACAATCGGAGCCGTCTCTTTCATCCCACGGCTCTCAATTATCCTCTCAACCATGTATATCGACTTGCTCGTGTACATGTGTTTCACAAAATATGTTTTTCATTTTCTAATATGTTGCACTATTTGGTGGACCGTGGACCTAACTATTATGGGTTCGATTCAACTCCAATAAACAAACTAATGATGCCGCCCGAGGACCATTCAAATATAGTTGCTGGTGGCTTTGTCCTAAGTATTTGCATTTTCTTTTAAATTGCATTTTTAAAAAATTTATAATCGAAACACGACATATCACCTACATGCACCTCTTGAAAAATATTTCCATTTTCTTATCAACGAATATATTTATTGATGTATATTATTTCAGAACGAATGGATCGCATATATGTTTTCTAATTGGTCCCTAGAATATAGTTATGCGATATTAAAGTTGGATGCAAGGAAAAAAATATAATTCTGAAATGGACAAAATATTCCACTAAAATTAGAAAGAAAATATATATATATATATATATATATATATATATATTCCACTAAAATGTATAGAGTTTGGTCATCTTATTTCCTTTGACGTCCTTATTTTGAACCGCCGTCGGGAATAAGCGATCAACTCGGAGGAGGATGCAAACAGAGCCGGACCGGAGGACATTGGTATGAAACATTGCAATGGGGCCCCATTTTAGAGGGGCCTCACAAAATTACTTTTTATATATATATGTATATCATTTATTATATATAGATCTTAAAATATTGTGTATACTTAAAAAATATATAATTATTATATATAATTGAGTGATAAAAAAAAAATAGTAAGTTATTTTTTCCCTACAACCACAAGATTTTCCATCTAATAAGAGAAAATATTTTATTTAAAGAAATTCTAAAACAATCAAGAGTAATTTGCTTTAACAAATTATTTTTATTCTAGTTTTTTTTTTATTTTATGAAAATTTTGATATTATTTTTTTTAAAATTGTTTGGGGCCCCCAATTTTGTTGGTCCGGCTCTGGATGCAAATTCTTTTACGTTTAAAAAGGGGGGAAAATTGACATCAAAACAATTGAGTGTAGATGACTACTTTATTATCGACCAATTAAGGAAAATCATATATTGAAATATATATTTTGTTTTTACATTGGCCACATTATACGTATATATATTTTTAACGAAAGAATTTTTTTTCTTTTTCTTTCTAAATCTTAGACCCTAAACCCAAACAAGTTATGTAAAAGTGGATGGATGGCACTGTTATAAACTCCCTCAAATTTTGAAAAGCTTTGAAAATAAATAAGTATTTTAATTTCAAAATGACACGTGATTTAATATAGATATAGTAAATAGCCATTAGCCACCAGCTCAAAGAAAAAAGTTAGAGCCACCAACTTTAAAACTTCACAAGAAAAAAAATAAAAAAAAAAAATACCCAAAAGGTCATTAAACTTGTGAAATTGAGGGGCAAATCAAGAATTTGTAGGGTACCGTCGAGATTTTTTTCTGTGTTGGCTACCATGAAAAAGCTCACATGCTTCAACAACACCACCCCAAATTGATCTCCCCCGAGAGAAATTTGATTACATGCCAAAGATTAGCCTTTTCTTGCATTAAGCAGAGGTTAAAACTTAAAACAGTGAGCGAGCGTTTTACCACATTTCATTTACAAGTAGAAAAAAAAATCCTTCTTTTTTCCGGATATATACATAACCATATTTGTTAATAATATTCAATTGGCGATACTATATTCTTTCATTGCACTAACCAACCAGTCTCCTTTATCATCTCTCTATCTCATCAACCTCCTCCATTTTCTTCCATTTCTCTGTCTGTGTATCCGCGGGAGAGATAGAGATAGAGAGATGGAAGCTGCGATTCAAACGAGAGGACTTCTCTCCTTACCCACGAAACCCATCGGAGTGAGAAGCCTTCTTCAGCCTTCTCACGGCTTAAAGCAGAGACTTTTCGCCGCGAAGCCAAGAAATCTACCTGGGTTCTCTCTATCCTTTAACGGGCACAAGAAATTTCAAACCTTTGAGCCAACCCTTCATGGGATTTCAATTTCCCACAAAGAGAGAAGCTCCGAGTTCATATGCAAGGCCGAGGCCGCGGCCGCCGGCGACGGAGCTGTCTTCGGCGAAGGCGATTCCGCAGCTGTTGTAGCGTCGCCGAAGATTTTCGGTGTGGAGGTTGCAACCTTGAAAAAGATTATACCTTTAGGGTTGATGTTCTTCTGTATTCTTTTTAATTACACAATTCTAAGGGACACAAAGGACGTCTTGGTGGTGACGGCCAAAGGAAGCTCTGCTGAGATTATACCTTTCTTGAAGACTTGGGTGAATCTTCCTATGGCCATTGGGTTTATGCTCCTCTACACTAAACTCTCCAATGTTCTCTCCAAGAAGGCTCTGTTTTACACCGTTATTATCCCTTTCATCGTCTACTTTGGGGCCTTTGGTTTCGTGATGTACCCTCTCAGCAACTATATTCATCCGGAAGCTCTCGCAGATAAGCTCCTTGCAACCCTCGGCCCTAGATTCATGGGTCCTCTTGCAATCTTGCGTATTTGGAGTTTCTGTTTGTTTTATGTCATGGCTGAGCTTTGGGGTAGTGTGGTGATCTCAGTTCTCTTCTGGGGCTTTGCTAATCAGGTGATTAAACTGGTCTATAAACTTAAGTTGTGCTGATTTTTGATCTTCTACGTTGACTATGGATTTTTGTGTATCTTCTGTTCATTTGCTATTTGACAGACTAGTGTGTTTATGGTTTGATGATAATAGTCTTTGATTGCTATCGAGTTTGATGTGTAATGGTGCACTGAATATGATTATAAGGGGTGTGTGAGTTTTATAGCATTGCTTCAATTTCTTTGCAGATCACAACTGTGGATGAAGCCAAGAAATTTTATCCTTTGTTCGGACTTGGAGCCAATGTTGCGCTGATTTTCTCAGGAAGAACCGTGAAATACTTCTCTAACTTGAGAAGGAATCTTGGTCCTGGAGTTGACGGATGGGCAGTTTCGTTGAAAGCCATGATGAGCATTGTGGTGGGAATGGGACTCGCCATCTGTTTCCTCTATTGGTGGGTCAATAGATATGTTCCTCTTCCAACCCGTAGCAAGAAGAAGAAGGTCTGGTCTGCAGTAACTTTTTGTTCTGTTTTTACACTTTATGAGGACTCTTCTTCTGATTTGTTGTCTCTCTGCAACTCTTTTTACAGGAGAAACCGAAGATGGGAACGATGGAAAGCTTGAAGTTCTTGGTGTCATCACCATACATTAGGGATCTTGCTACTTTAGTGGTGGCATACGGTATTAGTATCAACCTTGTGGAAGTCACTTGGAAATCAAAGCTTAAAGCTCAGGTATATACAGCTCCTCATCCATCGTCTCTTCATTCTCGATGCTTCCATTTTCTAAGTTCATTGCTATGCTCTGCAGTTTCCTAGCCCAAACGAGTACTCAGCATTTATGGGAGACTTCTCAACCTGCACGGGTATTGCAACATTCACAATGATGCTTCTCAGCCAATACGTATTTGATAAGTATGGTTGGGGAGTAGCTGCAAAGATCACCCCAACTGTTCTGCTATTGACTGGTGTTGCGTTCTTCTCTCTGATATTGTTTGGCGGCCCATTCGCACCACTTGTTGCCAAGCTTGGTATGACACCGCTACTCGCAGCTGTGTATGTGGGTGCCCTTCAGAATATCTTCAGCAAGAGTGCCAAGTACAGCTTGTTTGATCCTTGTAAAGAAATGGCCTATATCCCATTGGATGAGGACACCAAGGTTTGCTAACTTTTCTCTCTTTTAAGGAATCTATATGGCATGAAAGCTGTGGTCTTTAGCTTTGGGTTTGAGCCATTGTGATGTGGTGCAGGTTAAAGGCAAAGCTGCGATTGACGTGGTCTGCAACCCGTTAGGGAAATCAGGGGGTGCTTTAATACAGCAGTTCATGATCTTATCCTTTGGATCACTAGCGAATTCAACTCCTTATCTAGGAATGATCTTGTTGGTGATTGTCACTGCATGGTTAGCAGCAGCTAAGTCGCTGGAGGGACAGTTCAACAGCTTGCGATCTGAAGAAGAGCTTGAGAAGGAAATGGAGAGAGCTTCATTGGTGAAGATCCCTGTCGTGTCTCAGGACGAAAGCGGGAACGGTTCCCTTGGAGAATCTCCTAGCAGTTCACCAGAGAAATCTGCTCCCACCAACTTATAAAAAGTTTTTTTTTTTTTTTGATATTTGGTATTGTTGAGGGGATTTTAGGGGAAAAGAAAGAAGGATGATGAATCAAAAATAAGATCTTGAGACCAGTCTCTCAAACAATCGCCCTTTTGCACCACCCCTCTTTATAGTCTGTAGCTTTTTTTATTTTTACATTCTTTTCAGTTAAATGTGGTTTTTACTTTCCAAGTTTCTCTTCCTTGTGTGTATCGTTGAAGTCAAAAAGATAAATAAATTAGATTTAGTTCTACTCACAACATTTTCAGAGTAAGAATGAATGAAGTTGGGTATAGTTCCTTGGAATGAAACTGAGATGAGATATTGAAATTCTGGGGACATATTGTCACATAGCTCATTCAAGGCAATTGCTTAAAGTTTCTTCTGATTAACATCAACCAAATGGAGGAGTGTTTGAAAAGAGTTTAAGCAATACACACACTGCGTGAGTGAGTCTCTCTTACTACCTGAAAAAGGAAAACGTTTGCGCGAAAAAAAACGGCAGGTAGTTGAACCGTTGAAATAATTTTTGACATGGTCCCGGGAAATTTCAATAAGTTGTTTTATTTTTAGACACAAAGCAGAAAGCAGAGCATATTCTTTCTTATGGTTAATATTTATTTGCACGTCGTTAAAGCATTGGACTCGTCGATGTCTGAAAAGCCGTCTTTTATCCAACTTCTCCGGGGATTCTCAGTCTTTTTTTCTTTCTTATAAAATAGATTTGTCAACAGAGAGAGAAACAGAGCACTCACTGTAGATCCAATCATGGACACAACTACCACTCCTCTGCTCCCCGGTGATCGCAGCCGATGCGGGTGGCTCCGCCGTCGCCTCCGTCTCAAAAACCCTCTTTCTTCTGAACTCTCCGGCGCTGTCGGTGATCTCGGCACCTTCATCCCCATCGTCCTTACACTAACTCTAGTCTCCAACCTCGATCTCTCCACCACTCTCATCTTCACAGGTTTCTACAACATCGCCACCGGTCTTCTCTTCGACATCCCTATGCCCGTCCAGCCCATGAAATCCATCGCCGCCGTCGCTGTCTCCGAATCCCCACATCTAACTCCTTCTCAGATTGCCGCCGCCGGAGCATCCACTGCCGCCACGCTTCTCCTCCTTGGCGCCACCGGAGCCATGTCTTTCCTCTACAACCTCATCCCTCTCCCAGTCGTACGCGGCGTCCAGCTTTCTCAGGGTCTTCAGTTCGCCTTCACCGCCATCAAATACGTCAGGTTTAATTACGACGCTGCCACTCTCAAACCCTCTTCTTCTCCTCGTACTTGGCTTGGCCTCGACGGCCTTATCTTGGCTCTAGCTGCTCTGCTCTTCATCATTTTGTCCACCGGCTCTGGCAACGACAGAGACCTCCAAGATGGAGATTTTGCCGAGACCTCAAGCAACGAAAGCCAGTCTCGCCGGAGAAGACTGCGTCTTCTGTCTTCAATTCCATCAGCGCTAATCGTGTTCGCTATCGGGTTGGTTCTCTGTTTCATACGCGATCCATCCATTTTCAAAGACCTTAAATTCGGTCCCTCGAAATTCCACATTCTGAGAATCACTTGGGATGATTGGAAAATCGGGTTTGTGAGGGCGGCGATTCCTCAGATTCCACTCTCTGTACTGAACTCAGTGATCGCCGTTTGCAAACTATCCAACGACTTGTTCGACAAGGAACTCTCCGCGACTACAGTGTCCATCAGCGTTGGGGTGATCAACTTAATCGGGTGCTGGTTTGGTGCTATGCCTGTCTGTCATGGTGCTGGCGGGTTAGCTGGGCAGTACCGATTCGGGGCAAGGAGTGGATTGTCTGTTATCTTTCTCGGGATCGGGAAACTGATTGTGGGTCTGGTGTTTGGAAACTCGTTTGTAAGGATTCTGAGCCAGTTTCCGATTGGAATTTTGGGGGTTCTGTTGCTATTCGCGGGAATCGAACTGGCAATGGCTTCCAAAGACATGAACTCCAAAGAAGATTCCTTCATCATGTTGGTCTGCGCTGCTGTGTCGATGACTGGCTCGAGTGCAGCCTTAGGATTTGGGTGTGGAGTTGTTCTTTACTTGTTACTGAAGCTAAGAACGTTAGACTGTTCTTCGGTAACTCTGTTTTCCCGGTCAAGTGATGGATCGCAGGTACCTCGTGATGTCTAAGTTTGACCAACCCAAATGACTTGATGAAGAAGTACCTATGTCGAAACGGCTTCGAGTGCGTCTTCTGTCTTCGATTCATCGGGTTGGTGCCCTGTTTCGTCGAGTGTATTGAGATGTGAAACCATTAATCAATGTTTTCATTGCTCAACTTTGTGCTTAACATTATAATAATCTGGTATAATTAAGGACTAATATTGACAAATATTTTAACTAAAGAAAATCTAAAGGCTGACGCATAAAAGAGCCAAAACTGGATCTCTCCCAAGTATTGTCCTTTCTATTAAGAATCGAATCCCCAATCCACTGTGAATGTACAATTGACTTTGACGCCTAGTGTTACATGTTTCTATAAATGCAATGCTAGAGTAAGCTGTAAATTCATCATCACCTGACCTTTTGGCTATCCACTCCAATGGACTCACATGAAGAGCAATGCTTACCTATCCTCGACTTCTCCCGCGATAAACTAGTGCGAGGCACGAGTCACTGGATCACGACAAGGGACAATGTCAGAAGAGCCATGGAAGAGCAGGGTTGGTTTGTGGCAGAGTTCAATGGCGTCTCATGTGACCTCAGGGACAAGTTGCTGGCCGGCATGAAGGAGATGTATGATCTCCCAGACCAAATCAAAATCAAGAACGAGAACCACAAGGCCTCCCATGGCTACATGTCTATGGTTGTTGACGATTACCGGATCCATGAGAGCTTGGGGATCGATTTTGCAACCGAGCTCCAAGCTTGCAAAGATTTCTGTAAACTACTCTGGCCACAAGGAAACGATCCCTTCTGGTAAAAGAAAACCAAGACTTTGGTTTCATTCATGTCTTTGTTGACACTAATCAGAGTTGATATATGATTTGCAGTCAAACCACGCATATGTATGCAACGGCAATGGCAGAGCTAGACCAGACGGTGATGAGGATGCTGTTTGAGAGCTATGGAATGGATGAGAAGAAGCATTCTGCGAGTCATTCCGAGTCAACTCGATACCTGTTGAGGATGCTGAGTTACAGGAGACAGCAAAACGGTGAAGCAAACACTGGCTTTGTATCACACACTGATAAGAGCTTCATGAGTATCCTCCACCAGAACCACGTCGGAGGTCTCCAGTTGAAAACCATGACCGGTCAATGGGTCGGGTTTAACCCGTCCCCAACGAGATTCGTCGTTCTCTCCGGCATGGGTCTCACGGTGAGTTCTGAACCAAATTGAACTGTAAACGCATTCGATTCGAATTTCACCATAAACGTAGCAAAGAAGTCAACTTTACCCTAAACCCACTCAGTACCAACAATAAATTTGAAATCTTTGTTGGTGATTAAGGCGTGGAGTAACGATAGGATAAAGGCATGTTACCACAAAGTAGTGATGAGCGCAGATGAGATTCGATACTCTTTAGGGTTTTTCTCCTTCCACAAAGGAACCATTCGTACGCCGGAGGAGCTCGTCGATGACCAACATCCCCTCCGCTACAGTCCTTTCGAGCACGACGGCCTCTTACGCTTCTACGAGTCGTACCTCAATTCTCTCAAGAAATCCAGCGAGGATCTTCTCCAGATCTACTGCGGCGTCAATCCCTAGATAATCAACGGCGATTAGAAAAAATGCGGTTGCTTGTGTATTAAATTTGCTTCTTTTAGGTGTTTAATCTTTATAAAGTACAACTCTTTTTTGTAATAAATGATACAAGATTCGCGTTTAGTTTTTGTTTAATTGGTGGGATTAATGACCCTAATTGCGTCCAATGCCTTGTCGAAAACCTCGTACTTTATTTGGAGATACTCCTTCCATGTGATTGATCGGTATAGAGACGGTTCAACCGGACCGATTAACTTAGATATAGGTGCGATTTGCACTTCACCAGCTGGACCACCCCACAAGTACGCAATCGAAATTCTTGACCGAGTATGGTTGACTTTGGCTCGGTGAACCACGCTTGGGATTTTCCCGTTTGATAAGATGTGAAAGAGATCGCCCATGTTGACCACGAGGACACCAGGAACTGGCTCAACCGTAATCCAACCGGACTCTTCCCTGAACACTTGTAGCCCTCCCGTGTTGCTCTGGTGCAGAATGGTTAGGATAGTGGAATCTGTATGAGCGGCTAAACCCATGGCTCGTTCTGGTTCAGGACAAACCGGGTAATGGTTTAGTCGTATGGCGCCTCGGCCCACTTTTGATCCAGATTTCTCTAGCTTGTGAGCCCATCCAATGTCTTCCACGGTGACACCAAGTGAGCCTAATATGCAAGACACAAGTTTGCTCGCTAATTTTTCCATTTCGTCCACGTATTCTTCCATTATTCCGCTGCAATACAGTACCAAAAATGAAAAGCCGTGGAGGGTTAGATAAGCCAAATTATTCACATTTCAAAGAGACTTCTCTGTACATATAATATTAGGAAGTACTACATAAATTATATGTTGCCCGGAACATTTAAAATACTTTGAAGACTAAAATGCATGTGTACTAATCATGAACACTAATAGGTCTGAACATTTAAACACTTTCAATCATAACTAAGTGCAATTTCCTTTGCCACACTTTAATTTTGCGGAATAATTAAGCAATATATAAATATATAATATAGTGGACGTTACCAGTACTTGGTGTGATCATGAGGCCAAAGAGAAATGAAATGGTTGCGATAGGAGGCATCCGCTATCGTGAACCCTTCAGACCACATTTTCTTCTCGAAAAAGGGAGAGATTCGAGGTTCTCCGTAGCCACTAACTCCTTTATCGGAGGAAGCCGCTTCAAGCTTCCTCTCTGACGGCATATCAAAAAGGGTTTTGGACAGAGACTCGATATCGTCGAGGAGCTTCTGAGAAATCCCGTGGTTGGCTATCTGAAACGCTCCCCACGTTTTACACGCATTTCCTATGAGAGTGGTGACGTCAGGATCGGAGAGGTCGATCACCGGAATGGACTCTTCCACTGTACCTGAGGAGACGGCAGAGGAGGGAGGCAGAACGGAGTCGGCGGCCGTGAGTTTCCAGGTGAACGAGTCGGGGAGTGTTTGGAGACTGCCTAAGTTTCCAATACATATCTCTTCTGCTAATGAAGGCATGACTTGTGAAATAACTGGAGATTGGGATGCTCATCACACATTCAATTACTTTGGATATATATGCATAAATACACACACATATGTTATGAATGTATGTAGATCACAACAAGTTTATTACATGCATATATGATGATTAGGATAAAATCAGTTTTAATTCTCTCCTATTTTGTTGAGCTATTCAACCCACCCCACCCCCAAAGGATTTATTAGCAAATATAGTGATTAGGGAGATATATCCACGCACATCATTAGTTTTTGTATATATTATATCAAGTTTAAGTACATTTGGTAAAATTCCTTTTTTTTTTTTTTTTTTTTTTGACATCTTTGGATCGACAAGGCATGCGGGGTAACGCGACTTGGGGAGTCGAACTCCGGTGGAGAAGGCAGAGTCAAATGTACTTAACCACTTGACTAAAGACATATCCCCTTATAATTTTTAATTAAACATAAGCAATTAGATTGGATCCATGTATACAATCATTAGCAAATAATAAGTGGTATAATTTGATTAGCATATATCATTATGTAATTCCTTATTCACTAAAATTGGTGAAATGCCAATTCCTAATTAAATCTAAGCAATTTGTTTGGACCCACGTACTAATGTTACAATTAAAACAAGAGTGTTCATGCATGGTATCAGTTACTATAGGTTTTGTGACTTTTGTCCCTATTAGTTGTAAACCTATAGTTGTATAGTTAATGTAAAACATCAAAGATTAGCAAGTTTTCATCTTTGTGAAAAAAAACTATACGAGCCTTTTCATGTAACATGTCAATATTAAGCTACTCGTTGTGAATTTGAAGAACCACTCATCTAAAATCTAAACAGTGATAGATATCATATTACTAAGAAAAGTAATAGTAGAATCTGAAAATCAAGAAATTTGGTCTGAAGACAGATAATTTTTAATAATGGAAAGAGACTGATTAAAATGAGTAGCTTTGGTAGCGAGGTACTGTTTCCAAGTGAGAGATGGGTAGAGAGGAGATTGGAGAGGATCAACGAGTCTCGGAAGTGGAGAGATCATTATATCGGATGGTGGACCCCACAGGTAAGCCATTGAGAACCGAGACCGGACGTGGTTAACCCTGGCTCGGTGAAGCACGCTTGGGAAGATTCCGTTGGTTAAAATGTGGAGCAAGTCACCGACGTTGACCACTAGCGAGCCAGGGACAGGTGGCACGGTAACCCAGCCCACGTCATCCCGGAAAACTTGGAGACCGGCGGTGTTGTTCTGGTACAGAATGGTCATGAGAGTTGAGTCGGTATGGGCCGCGAGGCCCATGGCCCTGTCTGGTTCTGGGCATATGGGGTAATGGTTTAGTTGGGTAGCTGCTTGTGTTCCTTGAAAGTCTGAATTAGGCCCAGCCCATTTTATGTCCTTTTCTTCCACTCCCAGTGAACCCAATGCCAACCACATCAACTTGGCTGCCAACTTTTGCATATGTTCTCCGTACTCTTCAATAATTTCACTGTTGAATCGATAATGTGAAATTAGTGTCTGAAATCTTGAAATCTATAGAAATCGTCATGTAACCACAGGAAAATCTTATACACTGTATTTCACCTTCTCTCAGTAATATTTATTTTCAGTTAATGTTAATCTTTGCACAAATGTTACTTTTGACTCCAATAGTCCAATCCTTGAGATATAAAAAATCTTTTATGTCTATATATAAATATTATATCATGTAATCTTTTGGTGGGTCCATGAGCTTTCATTGTGCTTTTTACTAACTACGACATGGCAAAAAGTGGTTTCTACTTTTCCCTTTTCGTATTATTCCCGAATCTATATCAATTGAATAGTCAACTGTACTAACGTCCACAGGTGTGTTTTTTTTTTTTCCTTCTTTTGAGAAAAAAACACTTATACAAAGATATGTTATACGTTATACGGCCTTAACGTTAATAAAACGAATCATAGAGAAAGATACCAGTATTTGAGGTGATGGCTGGGCCAGAGTTTACGGAAATCTTGGAGAGGAGAGCCAATAACGGTGAAACCTTCGGACCACATTTTCTTATTAAAGAAAGAAGCAATACGAGCCACGCCGTAGCCGGAGACGCCATTCTCTGACCGAGCCGCCTTGAGCTTCCGCTGCACGTTAAGCC